CCGTAGTATAATCAGAGTCCGTCACTTTACTGAAAATTAATACCCAACGTACCGATATAATTGTCACGTGGCGTTAAAGGTGTTAATCGAGTCGAGAATAATAACAATTACAAGCTTACCAACGTATAGACATACAGAAGCATACAAGGTAAATCTTCAGTGTACAGAAACACGATTGTGAGGTTAGGATCCCGTGTGTTTGGGGAAAAAAAAAAAAAATAAATAAAAAAAAATAAAAAAAAATTACAGGTCCCTTTGCGGCCAGCAGAGTTCCTATATTCCATGACTGCGAGTCCTCCAGCAGAGCTTCCGGGGCTTCATTGTATTGTAAATATTGACGTTAGAGGCTGCACTTTCTTCTGTGACGCGTAGATGGTTATACCTCGCGGCACGGAATGCCAGCCCCGTCGGAACGAAGTCGTTCGAGGCGCATTCTCAGGAAAGTTGTCCTGCAATTTTATGCAGTCTACGTGCATCGCATATAACACGGCATACAATTTCTTTCTTTCTCCGTTTCATTCCTTTCGGGCTCTTTAAAGGTCCGACCCAGCAGCTGCCAGTCAGCTGGTCCCGTGCAGCATCTGCTGAGATCGGGAGGACACCTGGGTGCAGGAGGAATTACCGTAAGGTCTGATCTCTAACGGATTTCATGCGCAGCCTTGATCACGTGACAAGACATTAACGTCGATATCCACGCGAACGACAATTATTACCCAGATGCAATGTTTACCTACCATTTTGAATACACGAAAGAGTTATCGGCATCTCGTGCGGAGGAAGCAAAGAAAAATGTACGCTCCACAATTTACGGGGTCGGAAAGCGATAAAGGGGAATCCCGACGTAAGTGCGGGTTGACGAAAAGACCGAGGCACGCTGTAAAATTAACCTCTACGTAAACCCCGAAAGACACCGTAGCACAACCATTTTTATAGAACGCACTCGGAGCTTATGTAAACTACGGGAGGAAGGTGCGTTCCAGAATTATCTGAGGTAGGTTGATGGAAATTTGTAAACAAAGATGGCGGCCACACTGATTGACGACCATCGATGCCGAGCGAAGTCCAATCTGTCCCCGCGTAATTAAAGCTTTTGGGTATTAATAAGCCACCAGTGCCTTATTTCGAGTAATAGGCATGACCAAGTGCAATTCTATGCGGAATACGTGTGAAGGGGTCTCGGTAGACATAATAGCCAAAGAAAGATGAGGTCGCTCGTCTCGAATCTTTTCAGTCCCTAACGACCGTTTCACATGAAGGCGCTACGAATTGACTTTCGAAGTGACGGAGACCCAACCTACGTTCCTCCAATTACGTCGTTAATCATTCCCGGAGGCGTTTTACACGCATGTGAATCAGCCTCGAGACCGTTTTTTACCTTCGTTTACCGCGAATTAAAAAAAAAACAAAATGAAACTCGAGACCGACTGAAATTCGCACGGGCGCGCGAAATTTACACTTTTCACGGATTAATCCGCGTCTACGCCCTTTCCGGGGTAATTCAAGTCGTCGACTCTCCACGGTAACTACAGTCGGCCCGTTACACGAGAGGGATGTACTTTTAATTCGCTTTCCAGACAAACCGATCGTCCCTTACAAAAGGAAGCTGGATTAAATTATAATTCATTTAGCGAGCACCGTCCTCTGAACTTGATACTCGGTATTACCGATTTAACATTGAAACTGGGCGTATATCATTTTTTTTTTTTTACATTTTTTATAATACCACCCCTCCGACTCTCGGCACTTCCGTTTTTCGAGCCCCAACCACGCACTCTGAATCGGCGCCTAATTAAAACCGTGAAAAAGCTCGAATATTCTTTTTTTGTCACTTTACCAGAACTCAAATCTCCAAGAAATCCGCAGTACGTATGACAGTAGAAAAACGCGTCAAAGCCATTGGCGGGATGGCAAGATAATAACAACAGTCAGGCTTCTCTCGAATTATTAACATGGAATAATCGCTACGAGGTCCTCGACCGTGCGGTCGCGTGTAAACGATTTCCAGAAAGTTGGCGCTTCGTTGGGCCGCACGTAAATTCGCCACCGTCTATATAAGAAACAAGGAAGAACGAAAATACAGTACGAGTAAAGGTAGCGAAGAGTTTTACGAAAATGCACGACAACGGACTGCAAGGTGGCCCCGTGCCAAATTGCAGACGCAATACACCTGGGGAGGGTTCGATACTTTGGCAGTTACATGCGAGCTACCTTTCCGTGTCACCCAGCGACAGGAAGTGCACCGAGAGACCTTGAGGGAAGGGCGTGGGATAATTGTCGGTTTTAAATAATCATCCCTCAAATCTTCCCCAGTTTGTTCAGTAACCTCATATATACCCTGTGTACACGGATATCTCTACTGCCATGGCAAAAAAAGAACTACCACTACGAATTTCTCAAGTTCAACTTTTTCCCTGCGTGGTACCGGGTACCGGAAGCCATTGCTACTGTCGTCCGCCGCTAAATTCCAAAAGCTCCCGGGCGCAGTTTCCAAGTAAGGATTTATTATCCTACTTTATAGAAAGCCGTCTGGCCGCAATGCCGACGCGGTCAGAAGGGGGGCAGGGATGGATGATGCAGGCGCAAGAAGGGTGGTAAAAAGCAGCAATTCGCTTGCCTCGCTGCAACCGCGGCGGCTCATTGCCCTTTTTCCATCTCGATTGCGTACACGCGTTACGGCAAGAGGAGGGTGAACTTTTGCCTCTAGACATCTCGCCCCTAATGCATCCCTCGGGAACTGCGAGGGTGAGCGTACAACCAATCGCAGCGAAGTAGGCAATTCCTTATAGTGTCAAGAAAATGTTCGTGCGTGAAATTCCAATACGGAAAGCCAATCGGCTTTGACGGAGAAAAAGTCCATGAATTTACCAAAAGTTATCTACGGAAGGTAATTTTGAAAAAAAAAAAAAAAAAAAAAAAAAAGAAACAAACAAATTTTCCCTTAATGTCCCACAATATAGATAATACTCGGTTGCAAGAACGTTCAAGAGATACACGATGTGATAAGTAATGACTTGTACACGGCAGTTGCGTTTTGCAAGTTCAAGTGTGTCGTAAGAATTTAATAAAAAAAAATAATAATGTGGATTTTTGAACGTGGGAGGGGTAGGGGGTGCGACTATCAGACAGGTGTGCTAATCGAGTGAAAGAAAGAGGGTGAAAACATGGGGAACCCTTTTATCCGAAGCCTTTATGTATACTCTCGCAATCCTTCCCCTCGCAAAACACCTATAGTCTACGCCCCTGGGCACTTTTAACAGTATCGCGTGAACCTAACACAATGGACGGTTTACCGTCGCTATACATTTTAAACGTGGACAAAACCCTTTTGTCCTCGTAGGTATGCATCGACCACGTGCGCTGTGCGCCTACACGTTTTTCTTAGGACGCGCGAGTTTTATACCAAACGCACAATTGTACTAGAATACGTGCCTGGATTGTAAATAGAGAAGATCGGTAGCTTCTGTTTATATACGTTATATGCTGTGGTGCTTTGGAACCACAGCAGTATGGACGGGGCATAAGTATTATACGAAAACGGTATTTTATCTGAAGGAAGTTGAAAATCAAGGGTAAATTTTATCTTGTGGACGACCCCTATGCCTGCATCCTGGGTAACTTTAACAGTGTGTAACCTAAGAAACGCCCTTATGCATAGATTGTCCATGTGTGTACAGTCAGGATTTCATTCGCTCGGCCAGCCGATAATAATTACGGGAGGGGCTGACGCGAACTTCCGCTCGAGAAAACTATACTGGACGTGTATAGTAAATATACACGTATCTAAATATATTGTATGTATGACTCATGAAAAATTGTATATATTTTGAGATTATGTGTTTTGAAAATTTTGCCAAAACTTTTTTTTTTTGTAAATATCACTTTTCCTGCAACCGTGGCTTATAACTTATCCGAATCGCTGCCGTTGATAATGGACAGTGTGAGCGAGCCTTAAAAATTGCCTAGGTTGGCTGACAGCACAGCTGGTACGATCTTACGGAAGCCAAGTGTCATAAATGGAATTTAAAAAAAACTGCTCATTTTAGTTCTGTATTACGCGGAAGGGTTTTGTGGTTCAAGCCGAAATAAGAGGAAAGAAAGAAAAAGAAGAAGCGGAAATGTGGTCAGTTACCTCTTGAATAAATAATTGCACTTTCTGCCATAAGAAGTTCTTTGTTCGCGAGTGAGGAAGCCTGAGGGCATGCCTTGTATCATCATGGGAAATTTACCCTTTGGGTCAGAAATGATAAAGACACCCTTTTTTTATTTCCTGTCGGCTTACGTTATGATTCCACTGGACTTCCGGTAACGAAATCCAACTGCGCCACAAGGAATAATCAAATGTAGAGTTTGACTTCCTTCTTTTGTTAGTATTCAATTTGACAAATTTATTTACTTATTAAACCCTTCATAAAACCACAATCCCTTGGTTTCATACTTTTTAATACACCCCGTATATTAATTATTTTATTGGAGTCATGTATCCTTTTGTATGCTAGAATTTATTACATAATACCTCCACACAAAATCTTGGGCTATGTAAGAGTTTTTTTTAAGTGCTATAATACAGTCTAGTTTGTACTATTCAAGGATTTTATGTATTATATATATATAACTATGTAAAAATGGCCGCCGAGTAATCGCATATCTTGAATATCATTTTCTCTATAAGACGAAAGAAGATATCAAAGAAGTCGGACTCTGCTGATAACTGTTATCATAGCGACTATTACGAGAAAGAAGTATATTAATTTTCTGGTTGTGGTACGGTAGATATTACTATGCAGTTATACGATGAACAACCAGTGTATCGGATACGCTTGAAAATTCGCGTACAAGAATATCCGGATATGTAAATACGAGTTGCCGAGAAATATATTTGCCTGATCTTAGTGACGGTTTTAACCGTTACCCAAAATGTCGACGAATGATAAACAGTGTTTAATTTTAAATATTGGATGAACGGTTATGCTTTCTAAATATACATTTTCAATCTAACTCACCTTACGGAGATCCTTCAATTCGCTGCTTTCAGAAGTTCGTTGCAACTTTATCTGTAACAGAAGTAATTGATATACATTGTAGGTTAAAAGTTTGTTCTGTCAATATTCACGGAATCATTTTCTGTCCATCACATTTGACAGAGTTTGCGAAATTACATAGTGCACAATAGCAAAACCATCGGCACATCTCCGTTTATTGTATTTAAATGTTTCTTGCGAAATTCTAAATAACAGTGTATAGCTATTTGATAATATATTTCGAAATGTCTCAACGGTATGTAATTTGTACAAATTCTTAATATTTTCCAGTTTTATACCAACATGTATACACTGGACAATTAGAACTATGGAAAAGTTGTTCAAATTCAAATAAAAATTACATACAATAAAATTGTACCAATTATTACTAAAGTATGCAGCTATCTTTTTATAAATCAGACCCACCTCGTCCTCAGGTAACCATATCTTAGCGTTATCATTTCCGTTCTGAAAGCCATTCAAGGAATAAAAGTTGTTGTTCTTGGTATCATTAAATATGCTCTCAACTTCCTCAATGATGGTTCCATGATCATCGTATCCAAAATTGAGTGATTTAGTGTCACGATAACCATTGACAAAGGACCTAGCAAAGTTACTCTCGAAGAAGTGTCCAGGTGAAGCTTCACTTCCTAGAGCAAATTGAATCTTCGGTACTTCGTCCATCCTCGTGATCACCATACGTCCCGACAAACGGGACGAGTTTTATGCGAGAGAAAATCCTGTAGATTTTGAATACAGAAAGATTTTCATCGCACGTTTCCTCACACGTAAAAAAGATTGGGCACTGACACTGTCTTCAGTATATCCTACGATATTCACTGTTACTACGCATACGACACGAATTATCGAAAAAAACTTCGTTTACAGGAAGGAGACCTGACAACTGCACGATTGTTAATAAAAATTGACAGTTTTAAATGGCCCACATAGTCGCCAAGGCGACTAAACAGGGCTGCGAAGAAATAGCTGTGCACTGCGTACCGGCAGGTATTAAACTGAAGCAAGTTCGCGCCTTTGGCCAGCAGTTCTGTTATGATATTCTGCGCATGCGCAGAATCCTCCACCACTTTCAGGGCGCTTCTTACGGACGGGACAATTGTGGCGTCTTTATTTTTTAACGTAAGCATGAGAGAGATAGAAGAACAGAGTGGAAAATATATACAGTATGAAATAGCACAAGCATCCTTTATTAGGGTTTCAAGAGGGTACTTATTGTCGGTTCGAATGAAACAAATAGAAGGAATAATTATTCTTCAGAGATGTCGTACCTGACTATGGTGAATCGTGTTATGCCGTTTTTCAAAATTGACTACCATAATGGCGGCTGTACGTTGGGGTAGTAATAAGAGCGCGAACGCGGTTACAACTATGACCCGAGCAAAGGATTTATTCTTGTACGATTATTACCTGCTTTGACCCTGTGCCCACCTGACCTGACCCTTCGTGTATCTTTTCTTTTACGACGAGTCTCGACGCGCATCCTGACGCTTCAATTACAAACTTAATACTGCTGCTAATGCTTAGTAATTGTAAACCCTTTTTACTACCTGACTATTGTTTATCACCTAGCGGATTTTAAATTACAGTTTCAAGAGGATTGCCGGCGGTATACGACTGAGAAATACACTTTTATATGGATATATTCGTAGTTGTCAATTAACAGTTTTTGGTTTTACACAAAATTTGACACTTCGGCTAGGAACACCAGTTTTCTGTAACTTGTCTTACAGTTATTCGGTTAACGACACTGGCACCGATAGATAAGCAACAGTAATTTTGTAATAGCTTAACTGGCATAAGTAATAAAGTAGATAAATTTTTCATATAAATATTTTTTTCTCTCCTAATATTACATTGCATTAGATACATTGGATCTGGTTTTTTTCATGTTACGTTATCCGAAAGGCTTAATTACCTTTTTCAAATTTTTAAGCAGAATCCAGTTTATCTGCTTATTAGGTATTACTCATAAAACCTGGGCAATTTCTGATTTCACTTTTATTATGCTCACGAACGCGAGGCCCGTTAGACAGTTTGAAAACGAAAGTGAAGAAGAAAAAAATGGCAAAATGAAAAAAGTAACTGAACATTAGAGCATTACGGTATTTAATTTGGCAAAGTGATGCACCATTCTCTGTAAGATGGGTCATCAGGTAATGAGTCGCACTCATAAACTGTGGATTGAAATATTTTTGAACGGAAAGGATCAACTGACAGTCGGGATAGCTTTCATTTTTCTTTTTCCTTTCTTTAAACGAAATATACATATCCTTCTTATAGACATTAAACAACATTCACTCACGACAAATATAACGAACGTAATACAATTTTCAAAAATTCCATAGTTAATAAACGTATAATTAATGGTAATTCTTAGGGTTAGGTCGTCAACGTGATTCACCAGGACATCACAAGACGAAATATAAAAAAATATAGCATTTCTTTTTAAGGCTTGTCAGGAGTGCGTACAGGAGGTCGAAACTCCTGGACTACCCTGCTGGAACTATTATGTATCACCATAGGTGAAAGTTCTGGTGGTTCTCCATACCACTGAAGTTTTTCTAACCTTTTTGTTATTGAGGATTTAACAGGTGTTATCATAGAAGGACTAGGACTGTCTATGGCTATTCTAGGACTATATACAGGAGTCCTTTTAATATCCTGATTGAGTTTGTTCGGTGTTCCTTGTCCAGGGGTTCTCGTGCCGATAGTTTTCTTCATCGTCTCTGAGGCTATCTCCAACGCACAGGTGGCTGCATACGCCATGGGTTCCTGAGAATAAAATCAGGTCACTAGTACTATGGTATATTTGAACGTCGCTAGCATAGAGCAAGAAATAGAATTGTTGCACAAGCAAACGAGCTCCATTTTCTCTGCGATTGATATTCTTAATTCTTGAAAGCGTAGAACATTCTCACCGCATGTGGGTACCGATTTCATGAAAATAATCGCGCGAATATTCACTGAATGGACTACAAGAGGTAGAGAGTTTTGAGCGATAGCTAATTGAGGATTATTAAACTTGCTGGGGAACAATAATGTTTCTCAGGTTCCTCGTGTACATTGTTCTTCGTTGCAGAATAATGAGGCGCGTCGCGACGCTTCTTTCAGGAAAGTAACTATGAATTTTGGAACCCCACGATAGTTTTTAATTTAATTTTATGTTTACCTTCACACGGGAGGTAAGGTCGTCGAACGGCTGACGAAGATGACTCTGTCGTGGATTTCTAGTGAAAACTGTTCTCTCCGTACAGTAAGCTACTGGGACACTCCAGGAACTACTACGGCGCCATTCCAAATTACTACACGATACTACAGAGCCTACGGAGAGGATCTCCGAATATCCATGACTTGAGATACCTTGCCAGAATAATACTGACAGGTACGATGACGTAGACGTGTCAGGATCCGGATACGCCAGATTGGCAGTTTCGAAATTTTTCATACCCTGTTGGACAGATAGGAAGAAAATTAATTTTATTATAGAAGTTCTAGGTTTGTAGTCTTCTTCTTCGATTGTCGCAGGCAACTTACGTGGGGTGCGTTTCCAACCGACGATACAATTCCTACTGTATCAAATTCACCAAAGTCAGGATTAAATCCAGGTACAGCTATCTCTGAGAGGGACGTGAACTTTCTTGACGGTATAGAATTTTTTTGATTGCTTATTTTATTAAATACTGTATTTCTACCAGCAGTCAGTTGTAAATCACCAGCCCTGTAATTGTCATTAACAAAGATCGATTAGTATGCTTCGCGATTTTACCACATGAAAGTACAGTCTGTTTATCGTACAGTCTCTCTTATGTATATGCTAAAAAGGTACCAGAAGAAAAAGTGGAAAGAGTTTTCTATATTATTTTAGGAATGTGATCAGGCCTGGTTATACGTTATCATAATTTAAACACATTGAAGAAGATAAGGTCTTAGTAATTTTTACTAAGTACGTTTTTAAATAGAATCACAAGAAACCCCATATAAGTGAAATTGTCTCAAAACAAGTTATTTCACCTTGAAAATTGTTATTGCCAGATAATGAACGAAGAAGTATGAGTAGTGGGTCATTATCAGTGATAACTCATTCAGTCGACAGCTCACCTTTTGCCAGATGCAAAAATATTATGTAAACAAATAATGCTGCCTTCCTTCAAGATGTTTCCAGCTTCCTCAGCACCTGACCACATGGTAAGGATTGCAGTCCTGTCATCATCAGCTACCCGGATCCTCAGGAGCGGAGTAACCTGTCGCGGAGCCGGAAGACATTCACGCAACTTTGCTTCCACTTCCTGTTTGATTTCCTCCTCCATAGCTCGTCGCTGCTCCATAAAATGTTCCTGTTCTTCAGACTGACTTCCATTTTCAAGATCAGCACGTGCCTTTGCATAGATAACTTCAGCTTTTGATTGACACCCCTGTTCGAACGCCATTGCAGCCTTTTCCTCGCATCTGGCATTGCGGAATACTACAATTTCCAAGGATGTCTTTTATTAGCGTAATATCATTTAGTTGATCTAATCCGTTAACAATAATGACAAGAGACTCACTTGATTGGCCATCCGCCATTTTTTCACGATACAAAATTGGATAGACTCTGATAACAGTAACTATCATTTTACCAATCAATCCTCCGTTCGGACTGATAGTCTTTAATGATGTGGTTATTGGTCCTGAGTGTGACTGATATCCAAGTTTAACATCCCATCTTGCTCGTCTAGTGGAATTCGTGTGTATCCTTAGACACACGTCTGCTGGAACCTGATTTTATATTATTCTGGATTATTATCATACTTTACACGCATACAGAAATATGGAAAGAAAAGTGAAATAAATTTTACCTCCAATGGAAAACAACCTTGATCACTATTGAGTAGTTCAGCACCATATGTTACAAGCTTCGTACCTTCTTGTACCTTTCCACTAGATACATAATTTGTCATTGCTATGTCGATAGCAGCTGGTATGCTATACCAGCCATCGGTCAATACCAATTTCCATTGTGATGATCCTGCGTTCTTTGGACTGTTCAATGTGTTAAGATGTTCCTTACACTAATGGGAAAACATACTTGAATAATGTAATTTGATATTGATATTTTCTTATGATTTTACCTCTGTTACGGATGCTACACACAAAACCATTCGTTTACAGGCTGAATCATCCTTTTCTAAGATTCTTCTCAAAGCAGAACGTTCTGACCTATCTATTTCTCTATCATATCTGTATTTTAATTCGAACATAACACGATTCGGTGTGAGCATCCTAAAAAATATGTATAATTTATGTAGATTGTATACTTGTATTTTATGTTAAGTAAAATCTAAGCCTACCTTGGCATTGATATTGATCCAAACTTCATACGATCCATCGATGCCAGTTTCCATACTATCCATCGATAGTGATTTTCGATCCAACCTGGTGGAATCAAAGCAGGATCTACTCCTGGACTAGATTCAAAAGATCTTACGAACTCCAAAGTTCCGACACTTTCAGTGTTATTCATTATCAGACGAGCATCATCACCAACTTTGAAACCATCAATATTTTCTCGTATAAGATCCTCCCTAAGTTTGTCATAAACATTAGACAGTTGTGAGTATACAAAAATACTTTTTTAATTTATTGCAGTGTGACTAATACGGTTACTCACGGATAATAATCGATACATTGGAATTTGTACTCCTCTGCTGTATTTGCTGTGATTCCCAATATATCTGTGCTGATTCTTGCATCGATAAGCTATGTTATATAAATAATTTAATAAATAATATTAAATTTTAATATTAATCAACGAATTGTTACCTCTTGAACGCTACGAGGAACCAATGGCTTTCCTTCAGTAATTTGTCGCCAGGAAATACGACATTTTTTATTTGACTCTCTGCTTGACAATAGATTACCTTTCATTGGTTTTGGTTTATTACGTTTTTTCATACGAATTAATCTTTCCTGAGCAACGTAGAATTCAATATAAGTTGTTAATTGAATGATTAAAATAAATAAAATGTATCAAGATAATGACTCACCTGCTCCAAGGAAGCACTCAAACGTTTTTCAATTATATTTACAAATTCGTTAGTAGAAACATCCTGATTGACACTTTTGTAGCGTTTTGGAACTTCTGTATTGTAAATTGAATGCTCCAATTTTGATTCCTCATGGGTGACCGGTGAGTTTGTGCATCGACTACCATTACCAATATTATATGGTACTTTATGATTTGATATCGATCTAATGAACAATTCTGTGCTCTTATCTTTATAAGGTACCTTAAACGAGGATTTGGGTGAGTCACAGTTTTCTTTCAGGAGAGAAGTATTCAAACTCCTCCTGATTCTGCGTTTACGTGAGACGAACTTATCTAAATCACTTAGTACAGGACTAGTTGATGATGCAATTGGAGTTGTTGGATTCTCATAAGTTTTTCTTGAAACTGGAATTGAATCCTTTCCAGGAACTTCAACATCTATTGGCTTCGGCTCAAATTTGGAAGCCCAGAATGTAGAGTCCTTTGAATTTTCTTCATCCTCAAGAAGAGCAGCTGTACTGGCTTCAACTTCATCAAAAATCAAAGTTTTCTTTAGTATCTGTCCTTTTTCTAATGTAGGATTATCAATATCTATCATATCCGTATTGATTTTGGTCGATATAATAGGGAAAGACTTCTGGGGTTGCCATTTTGGAGACATTGTTCTATCATTTTCCTTAATATCTTCTTGGTTTGCTACTGGTTTACATTTATCTTCTTGCATTTTATTTATTTCTATTTTTCTGTCAGAAACATCTGAGAATAATTTTCTTGCTTGGAACTCATTGCTCAAGCGTGGTCTCTTCAATTTTAATAAGTGAAGTCTACCGGATGGTGTATCTTCATCTACCTCAGATGCTTTTCTCTTAATTATCGGCTTGAATCTTGAGGATACTGACTTGTTTCGCAGAATAAAATTCCCAGGAGTAGAGGAACAATTTTCATTTTTTATACTACTGGAACCATTAGGTGTATCACTCAATTCACAAGAAAACGATGTTTTTGCCTTTGATAAGGATTCTTCGGAAATTTTCACTGAACGACCTCCTGCTGTTGAAAATCCAAAAGTCATTGGTTTCTTTACATCAGTTTCATAATCTCTCATTTCTGAAAGTTGTTCTTGAAGTACATCATTGGTGACTGTGCTCTCCAGATTTTCAAAAATTGCCTTTGATTTTGATAAGGCCTGTTCAGAAACTTTCACTGGACGACCCCCTGCTGTTGAAAATCCAAGAGTCATTAGTTTCTTTGCATCGGTTTCATAATCTTTCATTTCTGAAAGGTGGTCTTGAAACAGATCTTTGGTGACTGTGCTCTCCAGATTTTCAAAAATTGCCTTTGATTTTGATAAGGCCTGTTCAGAAACTTTCACTGGACGACCCCCTGCTGTTGAAAATCCAAGAGTCATTAGTTTCTTTGCATCGGTTTCATAATCTTTCATTTCTGAAAGGTGGTCTTGAAACAGATCTTTGGTGACTGTGCTCTCCAGATTTTCAAAAATTGCCTTTGATTTTGATAAGGCCTGTTCAGAAACTTTCACTGGACGACCCCCTGCTGTTGAAAATCCAAGAGTCATTAGTTTCTTTGCATCGGTTTCATAATCTTTCATTTCTGAAAGGTGGTCTTGAAACAGATCTTTGGTGACTGTGCTCTCCAGATTTTCAAAAATTGCCTTTGATTTTGATAAGGCCTGTTCAGAAACTTTCACTGGACGACCCCCTGCTGTTGAAAATCCAAGAGTCATTGGTTTCTTTACATCGGTTTCATAATCTTTCATTTCTGAAAGGTGCTCTTGAAACAGATCTTTGGTGACTGTGCTCTCCAGATTTTCAAAAATTGCCTTTGATTTTGATAAGGCCTGTTCAGAAACTTTCACTGGACGACCCCCTGCTGTTGAAAATCCAAGAGTCATTGGTTTCTTTACATCGGTTTCATAATCTTTCATTTCTGAAAGGTGCTCTTGAAACAGATCTTTGGTGACTGTGCTCTCCAGATTTTCAAAAATTGCCTTTGATTTTGATAAGGCCTGTTCAGAAACTTTCACTGGACGACCCCCTGCTGTTGAAAATCCAAGAGTCATTGGTTTCTTTACATCGGTTTCATAATCTTTCATTTCTGAAAGGTGCTCTTGAAACAGATCTTTGGTGATTGTGCTTTCCACATTTTCAAAAAGTGCCTTTGCTTTTGATAAGGCCTCTTCAGAGACATTCACTGCACGACCCCCTGCTGTTGAAAATCCAAAAGCCATAGATCTGTTTTCACTTTGTTTCATATTGCTGTTGTTTTTCTTTAATTCATCAGCCACTTCATTTCTGGGTATATTTTCATTCGATTCAGATAACAATAGTTTGGGGTTCGAAAGAGCATCTTTAGAAATAGTTACTGGACGATCACTAGCAGTCGAAAAACCTAGTGATAATTTCCTCGTCCTTTGATTGTTTCTAACTTTATTTTCTTTGTCGATTACATCTTCAGTAAGTAATGAAGGTCTTACTTTTAACATTGCCTTAGGAATAATATTCATTTTTTTATTATTAGCTGTAGAAGAACTTGCTAACTTCACAGTTACCCTGGGTTTAATAAAGTGATGTTCGGTAGATACTGTGCTCTTTTCAGGTAGATTGGTAATAACATTTGTAGGATCATTCAATTTTATTATTCCTCTCACTAAATTATCATTTACTTTATTATCTTCTTTTTGCACCCTTAGCTTTTCTCTGTAGGCACAACATTGACTCTTGACAAAATCTGCAGAAGAGAAACCATAAAATGGTCTAAAATTAATTGAATCACTATCGTCATTTATATCTTCGTTATCGAATTCAATCGATAGCTTCAAGGATTCTTCAATTTGCAATAAAGCTTTAAGTTTAGTTGCAAGAAACTCACTGAATGTAAGTTCTAACGATGAAAAACCATGGAATAATCCTTGCACCATCGTTTTTACTTTTACTGTATCAAGTTCTTCTTTGTTTATTTGATTATGTGAAGAAACTTGAGTGGCAGGCACTTCATTATTGTCAAGTACAAAAACTTTTGTCAGATCTTCATTTCGGAATATGCACTTTGCTTTTTTCAAAGCATTTTCGCTGACTGCCAAAGACTTCCCGGCTGCCGTAGCAAATCCTCTACAAGGCATAAGATTGGATGGCTCTGTTAAATTATCATCCTTAAAATCACATTTTCGCTTTAATCTCAGGATTTCATTTTTTGACAATTTCACAGAGGTCTTGGATTGTGCCAGAGGATCTGACAAATTTGTAACATGTGTCTTTTTATTTAACATTGGCCAACTTCTCTGCTGTTTCACGTTTGATACATGAGACTTGCCATTCTCTACTTCTAAACAACTGTTAATGTCAATGTCATCATAGATTTTCTCTGCAAGACGAAGTTTATCTTCACTGACTGAAATGCTTTTCCCACTGGCGGTAGAGAAGCCAGACGTAGCAGTTTTTCCAATTTTGCTAACTAAATTTAGATCTCCTATCCCTGTACTAGATTCCTCAATATTCTCAAACAATTTCATAGCAGCTGAAATTCTTTCTTGATTGATATTTATATTCTTACCACTCGCCGTTAAGAATCCACAAAGTGGTTTATCGATTATGACATCAGATTTCTCAATAGTTGCGCCATTGGATTTCTTATATTCGTTTTTACTTATCGTGTTTTCCATTTCTTTAATTTTAGTCTCGCGCACAGACGTACCGCCCACTTCATTTGATTTATATTCCCAGTCATTAAATTCTTCAAAATCCTCAGCAAACGCCATAGCCATTTCGCCCAAATTTTCCATTTGCGTGTCAGTTACCTCGTTTTCCACTTCACGGAAGATGTCATCCATTTCTTCGTTGTCTTCTTCCAGGGATAAAGAAGCCGATATGTTTTTCGAACATGTTTCTGATACCTCAGAATTATTTAATGACTCTCTGATAGTGGAATTTAAATGGTTCATCTTATTACTCGTTGTATCTTCAATGTTCACATTTTGATTTGTTTCAGGATCAAGGACTTTTTTTTCGTTTTCATTGGTATCGGGTATACAGGTCGATTTTCCAGTTTCCGTTGGGCATAGTTGTGAAAATGGTATCAGTCCTAATTGATTGTGAGGTCTACGTTCATTCTTGACAACCACTGGATGCGCTGCGGCACTTTCTAAAAGTTTTACGTCTCTAGTTAAATCATCAGCGGAAATAGCTACGTATTCGTGTTCGAGAATTTGTCTCCGTGGTTTTTGCAATTGTTTTATAGCCTTGATACGATCTTCGACGGATTTCTTAGATGGTTCTTCTTCCTGAATATTAACATCCTCACATATTTTGTCGATAGCGCTGAAAGAGGTGTTTGCAAAAAATTCTTGGGTCGATGTATTGAATTGTTCTGTCGTTTTGATCTCAGTATTTTTGTTATCCACACAGATGGGTACTTCCTGTGAAACTGTAGAATCTTGTTTAGGGGACGTAGCATATTTTTTGTCATTATAACAGTTGGTATTAAAACTAGTAGTAGATGCTAAAGTCACTGTATTATGTGATGTAACAAAATCATTTGAGGCACTAGTTTGGTCATTGGCTTCCAATGTTTTGCTATTGATACGTTGGTTGAGCAATGATTTTGATGGAGATGGTTTGAATATTCGTCGTTTCGGACGACGTCGTATTCTTTTATTGTTCAAAATAGGAGACGTGCTTATGTACTCAGGTTCTACGTTCCTTCGAATAGATTCTGCTGGTGTTAGTTGTACAGAACATGGTTCTTTCTCAGCCTGCAAGTGCATTTTGTATGATTGATACTTGACACAATTACTGAGATGTTGAAGTGAGCTTAATCTTTTTAATGTAGTAAAAAATATGTTTCCTTACACTGTCCACAGATTTAATGATACGCTCAGGTGAGCCCTGCACGCTAGGGATATTCCTCTTGCATTCTGGTGTTTCCAAATCACTTGTCCATGATTCATTTATATGTGAAAGAAACGGTACAAGACTCAGTGGAGCACTAGGTATTAAAGCAGCACTAGGAGTTCTGAAATAAAATGGAAATTGTTTGAAGTTCTATTATTCAGGTTTATATGAATATGCAGAAACCTACTTGCTCTGGTCAATGGAATAGAGTACAGGGGTTTTTAAGGAAGTCAAAAAGGAAATATCCTTGTTAGGTGTGTCGAATCCAACAGGAGTATAACATACTGTGTTATCTGCAGCATCATCTGAAATATAGAAAAACAGTAAATCTCAAATAATATTATTACCACAACAATGCTATAAGAACAAAGCTAATACACGAGAATCAGGAAAATCATTACCAGAGAATAATTCTTCAGAATCTTCGTTTGCGTCTTCGTCGTCCTGGAAAGTTGAACTGTTCTTTTGTACTGAATTTGTTCGAACATTTTCCTTGTCGCGCAAAATAATTGTTTTGCCTTCGGCGCCGTTCTTGTTCATATTCGCACATGACATTTTCTCGTAAATAGCGTTACGCGTTGTATTCGCGAGGCATTTGCCAAGTGTTATGTATTCATTAGGATCTATAGATTCTTTGTTTTTTAATAATTACACGGAAATCACAGAAAAAACCCGGAATAAGATAATTTAATTACGTAGAATAACGTCATATGAAAGAATATATACAGATCTGCTGTAGACTTGACAAAGAAATTTTATGTTACACCTTAATGAATCTCATACAATTGCACCATTAAATCACTGATAACAAATATTTAAGATGTATTAAACAATAAGACAAACACAACATCAAAATCTTTTACAGAACAATTTTTTAACTGTAAAATGATCCTTCCCCATCCTTCCTACTGAAATCATATGGTTGGTCCGTTATGGCGGATCTTCGGAATGCAGCGTGCGAAGCTAACCGAATCCTAACCTTGTTCGAATGAGCGCGAAATCGGAGTTCGAGGGAAAAAGTGAATTTTTTTAATAACATGGGGCTTAAAAGGAAAACTGCTATTACGTGGTCTGTCCTCGAATTAACGGGGCTTCTCGAAGACGAAGATTCGCGTGTGTATTTCGAAAGAACCAAAAGACATCTCGGTTTGCATCCATTTCATCTAACAGACCTAAATGCGGCATTGCACGAAATTTTAAGCTCGAGCTTAAATAAATATGATCCCGAGTACGTATTGTCTAATGAATTGTTCTGGAATACCAAGGATATTTTTACATTAATTATCAACGACTTCGACACTACTGTATAGTGTTTGGTACATTAATATGTACAGGTTATGTTCTGTTATGGTTCCCTTATCTTGCTTGGAATTAAATATTTCTTTTCTTTTATTAAAATTCTAGATTGAAGGGAATTTTACTTTCCTATCAAAATCCTAAACTACTTAATTGCCTTGGAGATATATTTTATGATACCTGTTACGTACATGTGGACATTGAAGCAGATTTCTATGTCTTCAGACCAGATGTTCCATGTAACCTAAGAGGTAGCTGTATACTCTATTCTATTTATGAATGACTTAGTAAACAAAGTTGTGAATCTAATTTTTTACTGGTCTTTTTTTTAGGTATTGTTAATAAAAAAAGTGATGGTCATGTAGGGGTTTTGGTACACAAAGCGTTCAACGTGTCTATTCCTAAGCCAGAGGATGATAATGATTGGCCAGGTAATAAGGTGAGCGTAGGACAGGAGGTGAAATTCACTGTGTCTTTCTTGGATTTTAAAGGGAGATTACCCTATATTCGTGGTGTTTTTGATCCTGAGTGAGTATCAAATCCGATTAAATTTACAATGGTTATTGTGGTTTACATTATGTAAGAGATGCTTTGTATTCTGTTTCAGTGAATATTTACAAGGATGTAGGATATTTGACCCAACTGTAAATATCATTCCTGAAATCAAAGATGGACCTACAAAGAAGAAATCTCAAGATGTTGCAGTTCCAAGACAAAATAAACGTGTTGTGTTCAGTAGCGATGATGAGCAAGAGGAAGCGCAGGAACAAGTTTCCCCTAAAAAGAATTTAAAAGCCCCAAGAAATAAGATAAAACAGATAATGGACTCTGAAGAGGAGATTGATTCTCCAAAAAAGCAAACCAGCAAGTCTTTGGCCTCTGAATTGAAAACAAATGACTCAAAAAGCAAGTCGAAAAAATCAAAAAAAGAAACTACACCAAGCTGGGAAGTAAAAAAGGAAGAAGAAGAGACAAAAACACCCACTAAAAAATTATCGAAAAAATTGTTATCCAAAGTTTTTGAAAGCAGTTCATCCGAGGGGGAAAAAGAGTCGCGTCAGACTCAACTTAAAAAGACTATTAAAAAATCCAAGATGTCGAAGCATCAACTGAGCGACAGTGAATCTGAAGTAGAGATGACACCATTATCTAAAAAACAATCGAAGAAATCAAAAACTATAAAATTAGAAGCAGCAGAAATGAGCAATGTCGAGAGGAAACCTACAATTTTGACACCTGTGATTAGTCAAGATAGTGATGCAGGTGAACATGAAGAGCCATTGTCAAGATCACCTAAAAAACAGATGAAGAAATCAACATCGGATGATACCGTAATGTCGTCTAGAGCTCTTAAATATGAAAGGAAGCAGGATAGCGATATAGAAGAAGATGATTTACTAGCTCTGAAATCAGTATCTAAGAAACAATCGATAAAATCTAAAAGAAAAAATTCAGAAACAGAAGTATCAAGTGAAAACAAAAGGAAACCCAACATTTACAATTCCTTAAACAGCCAGGATAGCGAGAGTGAAGAAGAAAAGTCAGTAAGAATACCATCACCTAAAAAATCATTGCAAAGATCTATAAACGCGGATTCTAATGTATCCCCTACAAAACAAATGAAGAAATCGAAAATTAGCAATGAAACTACATTTTCTGCAAGCGAGACAGAAGAAGAAAAGACGGTACAACTACCATCCCCTAAGAAATCATTGAAAAAATCCAAAAACCTAAATTTGGATATGTTCACTGCAAGTGATACTGAAACTAAACACAAAACCTTCAAATTTTTAACAAGTAGAGAAAGTGATACCGAAAGGGATGTAATGCCACCACCACCACAATCATCCCCCAAAAAACAATTGAAAAAATCTAAAAATGCAAATTCAGATACGTCTATTTCAAGCGATACTGAAACTAAGCATAAAACATTTAAGTTTTTAACAAGTAGGGAAAGTGACACGGAAAAGGATGAAATCCCACCACCACCACAATCATCCCCCAAAAAACAATTGAAAAAATCTAAAAATGCAAATTCAGATACGTCTATTTCAAGCGATACTGAAACTAAGCATAAAACATTTAAGTTTTTAACAAGTAGGGAAAGTGACACGGAAAAGGATGAAATCCCACCACCACCACAATCATCCCCCAAAAAACAATTGAAAAAATCTAAAAATGCAAATTCAGATACGTCTATTTCAAGCAATACTGAAACTAAGCATAGAACATTTAAGTTTTTAACAAGTAGGGAAAGTGACACGGAAAAGGATGAAATCCCACCACCACCACAATCATCCCCCAAAAAACAATTGAAAAAATCTAAAAATGCAAATTCAGATACGTCTATTTCAAGCAATACTGAAACTAAGCATAGAACATTTAAGTTTTTAACAGGTAGGGAAAGTGACACGGAAAGGGATGAAATCCCACCACCACCACCACCACCACAATCATCCCCCAAAAAACAATTGACAAAATCTAAAGTTATAAACAGGTCAACATCAAGCGAATCAGAAGCGGATGAAGTGCTTCGTCCAAAATCATCTTCCAAGAAATCATTACAGAAACCCAAAAATAAAAATTCGGATACGTCTGCTGCACGCGATTCAAGCAATATGAAAACAAAATCCAAAAACTTGCCATCCTTGACGGAGTCTAATTATAGTGTGTTAACAGCAACACCGCAATCAAAATCAACAAAAAAATCCACTAAAACACCAAAAACATCTCTTAGTCAGGACAGCGAGTCAGAACGAGAAGAAGTTCCCGAAAAAAAAATGTCACCACAGTCACAATCTCAAGAATTAAATTCCGAAACAGCCAAGGAGACAGACACAAAATCCAAGAAAGTAAAAAAACTAAGTAATAAAACAACGAGCGATGTGAAGGAAAAACAAAACATAACGGATTCATCAATTTCGAAAAAGCTCTTAGCGTCATCGAAATCCGCCAAATCATCGAACAGATCAATTACTGAAACCAAAGAACAAAAACAAGTCGAATCGGCTAAAAAGGACATAGAAGAAGTGGACGGATTAAAAGGTACCAAGAGAAAAAAGAAACGATCAATAAACGAAGACTTGAGTTCAGTAAAGAAAGAACCGGAAGTGGAAGAATCACTAAAGCAATTGCCGAAAGTAAAGAAAATCAAAACAGAACATCCTGACGCATCGAAAAACGAGAGTCCAGTTAACAGATCAAAAATGTCTTTCTTCAATATTGGTGAAATTGTAAACTCTACACCAATTCCTTTTACGCAAAAGAAAAACGCGAGTACCGGAAGTAAAAAAAACGTAGCAACGTACAGCGACAGCGATAGCGAAACGGACGAAAATGAATCGATAAATTGGCGAAACTTTAATCCAAGGTCGAAGAAAAATAAGTCCCAAAATCGTGAGATTGATAATTTCGAAAAAGGTCTCAAGCAAAGACTTATGCAATCTTCTCTGAGCATAGACGACAGTGACACCGACGACAATAGTACAGCATCACCCAACAAGTCTTTAAAGTCCTTAATGTCAATAAAAAAAGGAAAATCTACAGAAAACAGGATTCAATTCAAAGAGGAAAAATCACCTCCACCTCAAATTAACAGCAATACGGTTTTATCCCCCAGTAAACCTAGCAAACGTAAACGAAAGAACACGATGACAGTTGATGACTCTATGGATGAAGAAGCACCAGAAGACTACTCATCGAAGGATATTTTTAAAGGCAAAAAAATAAAAGTGGAGCCTAAAGGTTCGGACGAAGAGAAATTGACCTCTAAAACAAAGTCCATGTACGAAAATGACAAAAAGTTGGTAAGTTCACCAAAAAAGAGTGCTACTACAAAACAAAGAGCCACGAAAAGTTCTAGCATAGAGAATTCAAAAAATGACAAAAAGAAAAATAACAAATCAATTGATAATCACAGTGACCACGAAAAAGATAAAGTCAATAATTCAAGACGGAAGTATAAAAGAATTCTTGATCCATCTGAAGATAACTCTACAGACCGCTCTCTTACGAGTCCAAAGAAAAGTATGGCGTACAGGCAAAATACAAACACAGTGGAAAACCTAGATATCTCAATGCAGGAAGAAAAATTGTACCTAAGGATGAAAATAAAAGAAGAGCCCTTATGAATATCTTAATTCACGGCTAGAAATATATTTTTTTTTTGTTATTTTAAATAATTGCAATATATGTACGACATCTTTTTCGCCAAGGGAACTATTTGTACAGTTATACAAAAGAATCATTCTCGACACAAACTATTCATTACTGCTATACACTTTCATCTCTATTGTTTTCTTCATTTCTTTTTTTCTTTTCATTCCCATCGACGCATATACGACAAATTCAGACTGTAAAAATAACATTTTATACTGAACAGACATCTTATTGTGTAGCTTTGTAAGCGCGTAGATGTAAAATATTTTAATGTTTGTTTTTTTTCCAGATATTACAAATAATAAACGTTAATAAATTCTTAATTTTTAATTGGTAACCTCTTATATCTAATTATTTACATAGGTAATGAATTACTTATATTTTAGTGCATGAATATTTAATTACAACGATGTACAGACCTTATCAGACACTTTGCTAACATTAGAAATATGTAAATATTTACACTGTCACACATAAAACATAAACTGAGGATTGATTTTTAACAATGACGTATGATTTTTAACATGTCTGACAAGTTTTTACAATCTTAAAGGTATGGCATCTTATTACTCATTATCAGACGTAAAACTTTTTACCAATTAATTACACTATATTATATATACATTTATAATGACCTAAAATTGCATCAGTCTCACTGACTGTTGGTCAAGATTTTCTCAGGATGTATTATATTCGAAGTTTTATTTTCTTTTTCAATTCATGGAAAAGCTTTAGAGGAAAAAAAATGGTTTAATAATCTCGAATAATTTTTCTGAGATCTGCCAAGAAAAGGATACGCCCAGGTTTAATATTTCAGTGCTTTATTCAACACTTGAAAAAAAAAGTGAAAATATGTAACCCGAAATTAAATGGCCATTCCCCATGGGGGTGGGGGGGGGGAGATAAATACAATTATTATTAAATATAAAAAATGTTTCCTATCAGAGGTTGACAATGAGGTAACCATTGAGACAAATATTATAGATACTTACAGATACTTGTACTCTTACGCATTTTTCACAGTTCCGCCACTAATCTAGAGTTCATATTATTTTATTTATTAATTAGCACGACGTGTAACGTTAGCGCAGTGAGAGAGCATTACTGTTCACAGCCTCAGTCCGTCTTCTTCAATTATTTTTACATAGATACGCTGAATTCATCTAACTGCAGTTATTGAGAAACCCTCGAATCCCATATACTGGCAATTGGTTCCGTCTAATCAGAGCGGAATGATCCCCTAGCGATCTTGATCTCTTAATTGGTTCAGCTGGAAATATAAAGAGAAATTCAAACCAGTCGAATTTCATCCGGGACATTCCAGGGCCATCTCGACATTCCTTATGTCATAATTAGGTACACTTAACTCGGTATCACGCGAAGAAAACACTATTTACGTATTGTACAATGTGTCATTTGTAGATCAAATTCATCCTCTATGCTATACCAACATGTAGACGTTTAACATCAATTATGATAATTTTAAAGATTTATCACCATAATCAGCATTGAATGATAGAGTACGTTAATTTGATTCTCTAGACAATGATTCATTACTACCCTGATCGAAAGCACACGAGTCCCAAAATCCTATATTCTTCAGGCACAGCAGTGTTTTTTTTTCCAAAGGACTATAAAGGCCAAGTCCCAGATCATTACACTACACCAGGAGATTCCACCAACAGTACACTAGGGTAACGGCCAAGGTAATCCTGAGAAGTCGACTGGACCTCCTAAGCCGGCATCAGCTTCCAGGAGGCTCATGATGACAGCCATTGCTGCTTCGTCATTTCCATCAGTTGGTACTGGATTTGGTGATTCGTTTATTGTGGTACCGCCAATGATTTCCATCATGTCCTCGTCTGCTGGCACTCCTGGAAGGAGGTTGAGATTACCTTCTGTGTTCAGGTGTTCGTTGAGACGGTCAAGAACGTTTTCAGGGACAATGATGGGTCTACGACCTTGGTCATTGGAAATGCTGCTCAGCTGTACGTTGTTCCTAACGTGGTTGTAGGTCGGGGTAGGATTGCTACTACTGTTATCACTGCCAATTCCTTGCTGGGACACTTCACGTATCCTCTCCGGTGAGGCTGTTGTCGTTATCTGTGACTATTTCAAAGTCAATAAAATGTTATTCACTTTAATCACCCGTCCCTAGATTTTTACTATGTCTTATACAGATATTTACCTTGGTATTTAGCAAAGCAGGTTCTGGTCCAGAGCCGGGACTGCTGATTGAAGAAGAGTCTTCGCCTCGCCTCTGAAGATCCAGAACCTCCTCCGCTATTTGTCGTCCAATCTTACTTACCTCAACATGGCTCGAGATTAATCTCTCGAGACCGCCATTGCCTATAAAATGACATTAAGAATCAAAGAGTAAGTTTTATCGTTTCTGATAACAACGACCTTAACATGAATCAGGGTCACCTACTTTGCGTGAAATAATCGTAGTTCCCTTGCACACTGGAGCCTTCGAACCTGGTGGCACTACTGTCAACCTGTCTCGTGTCAGAACTGTAAATAATAAATCATTGTCAATAAATTTGAATCAAGTAACATTTAATTGATCAACGTAGATTATCTTACAACACAGCAGAGTTCTTAGCGATCAGATAATCAATGTCTTTGGTCCAGGGATTCCTGAAGGACTTCCACTCGGACTGCAATCTCATGAAACTTGCTCCTTTACTCCTAAACCTGTAGACCTGGAAAAGGATACCAAAAGTCACGTACTTCGTGAAATGAAAAGTATCCAACGTGACGTCGGACCTCATCAGTAATTACAAGCTATCAAGAATCCTCGGTTAAACAAGGATTCGAATACCCAAGTAGACACGAGCGTCATATAATAATTAAAATTTTAAACAATCAACATCGTCATTGCAACCGATTAAGCAATGATTATTCCTACAGATTACCTGAGTAGTGACGCGTTCCGCAGTTTGTAAAGCAGCCTTGTGGGATTCAGCTAGGTGAGGAATATCATCGTGATGGTAATACTCGTACATACTAGTGCCCAGAAGTTCCTGAGGAAGAAATCCCAAAACCAAGGTCGCCCTGAAACCATATAACAATAAAAATCTGCCTTGACCCAGAGGCACTACGCACGTCAATCCCTACACTGACCTTTGGTCTACAAAAAGAAATTTCCCATCCATGGCATGACGGGACACGAAGTCAATGGCACGGAGATGAGGTCTCCCAGTAGTTGGCGAAGGTCCAGGAAGTGGAGGTTGAACTCTACCAACGGCTACTAGACAAGACAAATTGCAAGTCTCCCCATCGCCTTCGCCCTCTTGTTCCTCAAGGCCAATTTTCGCAGGTGCCCAGGACTTTAAATATCCTGTACACTGTATCACGCAGTATTTCCAATCTGCAAGAATAAAAAAAAAATAAAAATTCCCTCTCTCTCATATATATATATATATATTTTAACCTAAATTTTCCTACTAGTTCACTCCTTAATATTAACGTGCTCCAGCAGAGCATTGCGCAATCTCTCCAAGATTCGCACGACCCCAACCCGTTACGAAAGTCTCCACGGGGAGATTTACGAGCTAAAGATCTACCGACAGTCTCCAGGTTGCAAGAGGCCTTTCACCGGTCACAGGGATAGTCAAGGAACAGTATCGTTTCCTCTTCGGCAAGCTTGCTGCCTCTATCATGCATGCATACACATACGTCAGCGTATGTGTCTTACAACCGTGGCTAATCGAGCGTGGACATATCTTCAAGTATAAAGGGAAGCCGATGGACATATCTGATAGAGTCACCCCAGTTGCTCTTTTTCTTTACAAATTCTTCAGGGCATTCGTGACAACCCTGGTGAGAAATGCGTCCCGGTTCAAGGAGTCCAGAGGAATTTCAAGCGCCAGTCACAAAGTGTTACTTATGCACTGAACAAGGAACACGCGTGCCTGAGTTTTCCACGTACAATATATATAAATATATATTTCTTCCTCACCTACGTTCTGCTGCTTCTTCCTACGATGACATCCTGTAGTGGTATCAGCCTCTTCCTTTACCTGAGAATCCCCACAACGCGTTGCATCCACCTTGCGCTTCATTCTGCAGAAAAAGGATCTTCGTGCACCTGAACACAATCTGGAGACACCCTGAGGAACGTCAGTCTTCACAGGAAGCATGGCTAGAAAACAATTTTTAAAACAATTATTAATTGAGAAAACATATTTATGAAAGATTCAGTACAAAAATTATTTATGCTTCTCCTGGTTCGAAGCACTTGTCGTCTTATGCAATAGCAGGATACATAACTCATCTCGTCAAGCCAATCCAGCATCCTCAGAACTCTATAAACTCTTGTAGTACGTTACTGATGATCGTGACTATATCACCTATGACGACTTGATGAATGATGACTCGTGACGCTATATCTACCATGCTCTGAGGAAACTGCACGTGCCGTGTTTATACGTAGAGACAACTGCCAATGCATTTATATTATTAAACATCAGCATGAGTTTGTACCAGTTAACGTCGATCTTTATACAGGAATGAAACTTTAACAAAGTTGAAATATATACCTACTCAAATATATATACGTATATATATGTAGATCAATAGTCAATCGTAAGGGTGACTTCACACCCACCATAATAATTATCCTTGCACTCATTTCAAATCGTTATTTATGTATGGTGGATCAATAGAAATTCCATACGTTATATATCTATTCTAAACGTGCCATAAGCCTCGCGATAAAAGATATTGTTGTTCGTGCACAGTCTCGTGATTAGATGGATAATATTCACGAGTGTCCAGCGAACCATGGTAAATAAAGCGAGTGGATATTTTACCGATATAGATGTATATATATATATATTCTGGTACAAGACCAGCAATTCCCCAGCAACTGTTGCTGCTTTATTATTTCCTGAACACGTGCAATCCCCTGTACACGAGACTGGCCGATCTGGACTTTCGTAGAGCATTTGGTACAAGTGAATGCAGGTTAATTATATAGTATAAATATATATATATTAGAGGTAACGATACAAAGCAGTCACATTGTTAACAGACCCTCGTGCTTCTGTCACATCCTGATAATAAAGATATTATTATTAATAATATTATTATATGCCATTGAGGGATTCAATACTATACAAGGATATATTGAAGCCAAACAGAATTTCAATTTATAAAACAAATTTTGATATATCTATCAAGTATATATATATGCACCTACTAACAAGAGATTATATGTATCCCTATACCGTAAAGGAAATACGTGATGGATCTATTGGATCGTTAAGAGTGCTTTTCCATTTTTTTCCATTAAATTCCTATTGGCTATACGTTTCGTCATCCAGCATTCCCAGGCCTCCTAGTCATGGATCCAAGACGCAGATCGTTATCCTGGCAATTTAGAAATGCCACACGTGCAGTAAGTATCCGCAGCGTACCTGTACGCGTCTGACATTTGTCAGGTGAATGTGAAAAAGTCTGTGCATGCAGATGCGTGAAGGAGGATGCGCTTATCGAGTGCAATTGCCTGATCACGTGAGTGCCTGCAATGAATATGATAAATGATTATGGGAATTGAATTAAAAAATCACTTACTTTTGGCATCGATCAATCGTTCCCTGGGACTGAGATCGGACGATGAAAGTTGTTCCTTCACCTTGGCGACGTCCTTAGGATGCAGGATATCGAACCAGCTCTGACCCAAGAGGTCGCTCTGCATCAGACAATTCAAATGCATTACATATCAAACGATAGATAGCGAGCTTTCAATATGGTCCCTGTCCTAGTCCTTGATCCGTGATTTTATCAAAGACACGTCAGCCGCCTATGATTGAATACGACTCGAGAGGCAAAACGCAAGGTGTGGTCAGGCTATGACAAGATACTGAATTCGCTCCCAATATTATATAAGATAATAAAATGCGAAGGGACTCGTTAAAAAGATACGTATCGAGCAATAAAAAAATGATTTTCTTAAAAATTCCAGATTTTTCGAAAATTCCTATACCCTCCGCAAGTGCAAGAGAGACAGACTTATCGGCGCTCATCTGCGTTAGAGAGAGACACGCGTAGCCGTCCAACGAAAATATGGATAGAGATATCCTTCCGCCGAATTAGCATTGCTTACGATTAATCGATCTTCGTATAAGCTTACATGGAACGGGACCAATTTTTTTTTGTCTTCGATTACAATTAAATCTAACATTAATTATTTTTACTTGTAAGTACAGTCATACCTGAGAATAGTTAAGAGTCTGCGACACAGATTCAGATACGTAGAGTATCCTGCCGCGATCACAGCCTACCACGAAGACAAAACCCTCGGCAGCCTGAAAAAAGATTAATTATATTAATTAAAACAAATAAATATTAATCTATCCTATTGACTGTGTATAAGAAAAAAAAAGTTATGTGCAGGAGCTATCAGACGGATAAAGGCATAATGTCGGTATCGACTTGCCGTACACGAATACCCGGCCCGACGCCGTTACTTGGGTAATGCTATTCGAGTTCGGATACGCGTACAGAGTGTATCGACTTAATGAATGTTACATGTGATCGCCGATAGGAGCGATCGGTATTATCGGTTCGATCCGTACGTATTGCTGTTACACAACGCAGTGGTACGATGGCCTCTGTATATGCAGGCCGAATGCATTTTCTCCATGAATTTCCGGTCATATCGCTCTCTACGTGTACACTGGTATAGGAAATTCAAAAGAGGAGGATCGATATCGCTTTGTCTGTTTTACGAGCGGCACATATGTAGGTGCGCATTGAGAATCGCAGATTCTCGTGTAGTAAATAGATTTACTGCATATGTATAAAGTACACTTTTACTGAAATATTTATATACTTGTGTATATATATAAGTATGTATATGGATAAATGTATATATGCAGAAAGAAAACGCTCTTATAGAAAGGTTATGTCGCCTTTCATACGGAAAGGCCGGTTAGCCCGCGTCCAGAAATGTTGCACAATGAAATTTTATGCTGCAATTATGGTATAGCCACTCTCGACCCCGCTCGGTATGTCGGGCGTGGTTGCGCCATTTAATATTCTAGTTTAAGACAGACGATAGTGTAACTGATAACGATAGACGATAAGCCGCCCTTATGACAATGAGAAATTATTTATATGAAAACGTAATGAGAACTTTGATAGAATTAAATGCAAGTGTGCAAACGGTCTGAGGTATTACGTAGTGCAGGAAGTGAATGAAAAATTTATAATACTTTAGAGAAAGGTTACTGCAATGTAATGTGTACTATGGGTACGTTTGGCTACCCGGACCTGCAGCGACTGTCGCAGAAGATATAAATAATGAGTAAACCTTTACTGAACGTACCATATGATTATGGTAATTTCACTGGATTACTGGCTACTCAATATTCTCATTAATCCTACCGTAACCCGTTACGTTAACTTGTACCTCTGACGTATCAGGATTAATGAAACGATGACATTTTTTGACAATAATTTAACCTAATCAGCTGGCATCTTAACAGATCCAATATTGGTACTATTTCGTACGCGCCATTATAGAATAGTGCACAAGAAGTATTGAGAAGTCTCATGGGTGACAGCAGGAGCTATCAGCACGTGCGGATTCGTACCACGAGTCGTGGACGAGAGTCAGGTTGACATTTGTAGAGATAGTGATTACACTAAATAAAAAACGATGATCTTATATTCAGCTTGGGAACGTTTCTTGAATTCCTTCACGTTCTGTAACGCAGTCCAGCAGACCAGGTTAATCCACCAGACTTTGATAATTGTAGAAAGGGTGCATGACTTCCGGTTTCTGTAGGACGAAACATGATAGAATAATTAATTATTAATTGAATCGATTTACCTGGAGTATCAATGTCTTCAGTTCTTGATCGCTCAGGAAGGCTGGCTTGTAATGACCCTCTGTGTATGACGTCACGGCTCCCAAGATAGTCTTGAGATGCTGCACGGCCATTCGCAGTACTGTGAGCTTGTCCAGCTTCCTTGACATCGCGTGGCACATGGGGACCATCGCCGAGAGTTCTGTGATGTACGTGTTCATCTTGTCCCTTCGACGCTTTTCGATCTCGCTGTGATTTTGCCTGTATGACAATAAAGTAATTGAGTGAATAAGAGAGAGAGAGAGAGAGAGGGATGGATAAATAGAAAGTCAATTAAAATTCTGTGAAAAACAAAATTGTAGAATTTGTAAAAAAAAGCGAGCGAGAAATTGTGGGCAATCTTACAGCACGACGCCTGGGGTATCCGGAGGACGTAGGAAATGATAAATTAATGATCTGAACAAGTCATTACGAACTGAACGACCCAATCTCGATAATTAGCTGTGTTAAATTAATACGTTAGACGTAAAGAGCCAGAGAAGGGATACAGAGTAAAAGAAAATTGACACGCAGAAGGCCACGCGCAAGCGTAACCAGTTTAACAGATACAGTGATTTCCTGCTGCCAATACGCGAACAGGATGTTGCGTTGTCATTAAATGAATATGTAAATTCGATAAGAATTATTGAAAATCCGAACTGAACGATTTGAAAATTTTCATGGATTCCAGCATAATCCAAGATGGTGCTCGTACTGATCCTCTTTACTATTCCGACGGACACATTGGATTAGTGACGCGAAGAAGCCACATGGTAAATCACTGGGTCAAGGTGGTCGTCGCTCGATAAATGACATCGTAGACGGTTCAACAATTTCGTTATTTTCCCACTAAAATAATCCTGAGCTTAGAATTAGGCTTATAGATAAATTATCATTAGTTATTATCAGTTGCTCACTTCTTATTGTCGTCACTTGTCCGAACTGACTTGGCGTCGTCCTCAGTGTCGTCCAGCAGATCGCTACCGTCGCTGAAAACAATACACATAGGTATCTGCTTACTAAGCACGGTACAGAGAGATACAGAATGATTTTCTAGCCGTCATTGTGACACGTTAAACTATATAAAACAGTTATGTTATTTGTACGAGTGACGAATGCAGCTCCATTGTCTTATTTACACGAGCATTGAAATGGCATCGTCAAAGCGGTTTTCTATAGTAGCAGTTAAAATTAATTCCTTCGAATCAAAGTACGAGGTGAACCCTTTGATGTGAAATTTCGTCAAGTTTCACACGTTTAGTGCTTCCTAGCTTCTTTGATGAGGTCTCCTTGACGAAGACTTAGGTGCGCCGCTCTTCCACACTTTCCCAGAAACAATTTCTTTCGTTAGGAGTTTGCTGTTCGCAGGATTGGTAATTATACATTTCAGCCAGAGGATCGACCGCTGCGTCATCTGAGCCTAGTGAAGTCTGAACGAAGAGGCAGCCGGGCAGGAGGTTAATGGCAGTAGCCGAAACTAATATTTCCAAGTGGAATTCGCTTGGTGGGTTTCGCATCCTGATACAATGAAAAGTGTAAACACACAGGTAACAATTGGTCGATGTTGTGAACTCGGCATAATTTTTCAGACAATAAAACGGGATTGCGAAACGGTACGCGTAGATTTATGGTAACCTGAGAAAGGAGAAAGATAAATATATATATGTATATTGTAGAAAGAAAAATTAACGTGTAGACTCACTGGCAGGAAACTTTTCGCTTTCTAGAAACAGGCACGAAGGCATCCGGCGAATCTGTTGGTTCTCCATGAACAGGCATATCGGTAGAACTGCGATGATGATGATGATGGTGGTGATGATAGTGCAGTTGTCCAGAGGCTGGTGCCTGATCGGGTACCACAATCGAGGATGTCTCCATGTGCTGGGGCTGATCAGCCCCCCCGGTACCCTGTGGGGTTGAACGTGGGGCGGGGGTTGGTGCAGGAGTAAGACCTTCCCCAGCCCCCGCCGAGGTCGATAATTCTCCTACACCAGGTCCTGCACCTATGTCGCCGAAGTATACTGTGGAGCACGAGCTTCTGAAACACAATAAGGTACAGTTATGAAAATTACCTATTTTTTCTATAAAAATTTTTTTCAAAATTATTCTCACAATTTTCAGAGGGAAACTACAACAGGGCTTAACGCAGTGATCTTTATGTACTTCCTGGGTTATTATATAAGAGTATAATTTTCGCAATGGCATTCTACGGAATTCCATCGCTTTTATCTTTTTCATTGCTTTTCTTTTCACTGCAGAGACCTTTCTTCATACAAAGTAGAACCTACTTAAACATTCCAATGGATGCTGACTAGATTCTCGATTGCTACTATGTAGTTTCTTGTGAACGACAATAAAACCTTGTTCCTAGTATACATATGTGTTTTTGTCTGTTTCATTGTAACAAATAAATAATAAATAATTATAAATCCCTATTACCATTGAAATGGCTCGGTAAAAAATATCAGTAATCATCGTTTTACGCTGATTAGAATGGCTTGAGTTTTATTGCACTGAATTAATCACGAATCAGTACGTGACTCAGAATCAATCATCATCAACCACGCACTCATCTCAAGCGTCTTTCAGTAGTACAAGCGTAGATACATATTGCCTGAGAATCAACGCGCGATCTTTAGAATCACTTGATTGATCAAGAAGTGGGAGAACAAGGCGGAAAAAATCCAGAAAAACTAAGCGACCAAGAGAAAAACACATTTTTTCCCGTTTCGCACGACTTGCGAATGGCGCGTTCTGCGTGCCGTGTAATTCACCTGTACTTTCGCAATGGCACTTAACAGCAGGAGGAATAACAATTTGAAATGGCATTAAAAACAGTTTCGAACCTAAATTTCAATTTACGAGCTATTCGCAAACAATTAATTGCTATAGTATATCCTAAGCTCCTGAGAGAATACCTAGAGTCGCCTGATACAGAAAATGGCAATTATACTTGAAATCGTAATTGAGTCTTATTGAATATCACATGCGTGTAGAACGTGCGTATCTTTATCATAAGTTACACACGATTGACAATTGACCATTCTATAATAATTTATCTGATAAACAATCCCGGATAGGTAGAATACTTTTTTCCCCATAATCTCTCCATGTGATATACAATACTTTCATGTGTGTACGCCTTAATCCTATTACATGTATAGTTGTTAGCGAACCAGCGTTGCGCGTAACTGAGATAGAAATCAGGCCTAAGCTCATTCATGAGATAACTGTACCATAGAGTGCACTATGGAGCGCAAGTTATGAAAATATCCTTGATAAAGTGAACTAGGGTAATTCCTTAATTTAAACAAAAGTTGCCTGTGAATTTAATGAGATCAAAGAAATTGATGAAAACAAACTAATTAGTTATCGATCACGACACTGCAGTGTCTTTTGTCAACGTGAATGACGTATGCCAGCGTAAGCTAATAATCTTCTATAATTAATAGTACGTATGACTTATAGTAATTACGTCAGTATCCTCATGATCGATCCTGATATCGATATATCGAACGTATCGATAGATAAGAACAGGATCGTCCGGAAGACACGGACTTACTCTTGGACATTGGATAGGTCGTAGTAAAGTGGTTGTATGTGCGGTTGCTGAGGTTGATGATGATAAAGATGATTCCTCGTGGCGGATATGGTCAGACGATGATGATCCTGATGAATTCTGGGCCTGAGCACTTCCAAGGATATGAACTCCTGGGGCTCCTGATTGGAGTGAAGAAGCTGCGTGTAACCCTGAGCCATTTCCTGGGCGACCATCTCTGCACCTTCTGACTCGTAAACGAGTCCTTCCTGATGATGATGTTGCTGATCACTGTGAGGATGTTGCTGACGATGATGATAGGCCCGGGGGTTCACGCGACCCCCGTTGTGGACCCCCACGACATCCCCAACGACACCCCCACTATCCGGCAGTAATCCACTCGCATCTGATACAAGGATCAATGTCCTGATAAGGACTGTCTCTCATCTTTGTTTTTTAATAGAATTGCATCCTTCTCACAGTTTGGTCTGGAGCATCAGGATGACTTCAGATGCTGGGAACGAGGAAGCTGAATCTCTTATTTGATTTTTTAATTTACAGTTCAACCTATTTTTTGTCATTTTTATTTTTTTGCGTTGTCACGTTTCTTTTTTCTTTCTGTAAAAAGAGCAGTGATTTTATTTCAGTGAATCTATATTTCACATTCATATTTGCAATTCATTCGCGATGCACTATAGATTTTACATAATGACAAAGTAGGCTTGGAATCTTATCAATCTAATGATCTAATCAGGACATAATTAGCTGCTTGTTAAACGTCCACGTTATTGATGCAGGTTGTACATTACTTAGTCATTGACCTCTTATTTAAGAAGCGAATGATCGATTTTACATCAGTACGATTGGATCTAACTATACGTATCTATCGGGTTGATCAATCTTCTAATGAATATCATCTAGAGTTCTGGTATCTATGATAAGAGCGTTATTTTCATTGCTAGTATAATCAGATACAAGGTGTCCATTGACATAATAAATTATTCTAGTAAATTTCCGACAACTTAAACCGGCAAAACGTAGAACTTGCGAGCCATTGAAATATCCTTATTAGAAATAGTACCTGTTAACCGTTTAATTACAAGAAGAATCGAAAGGTACCTCACGTAATTAATCAACGCCTCTAATCTTACGTCTTGGAATAGCCATTAATTATTCCTCTCACCTCTCACGATACATCACGATTTTTATGATATTTCCATACGCGATTGGTACTGTTGCGCGAGCGTAAAAAATGGTTAACTAGTTCGATTTGATCTAAGGCTATGGATCTTATTGACGAAAAAGATTTTTTACTAGACTAGATCACTTCACTGTAAACAAATAAATCCCTAGATCACGTATGTGAAGTATAATCACAATAATGATCGATCCCACCGAACGAATCCTCTAGATAAAGGATCCTCAGCATCCTCAGCCATCCTGGACCAGCTTCCAATGTGTCAAAGGAGTCTGCCGACTCTATTTCGTCGAGTGTACGACGACTGTCAAGTCTGCAGTTCGTGACGATGTCATTGAATCTCTCGCGAGGATGGACCAAAGGATGAGACATCCTTACCGAAGTGCGCGTACATTCGCAACGAGGGGGACGCAGCATCCTCGAGGGTGGCAAAGCCTGCCGGCTCGTCGTCTTCGACCAGTGCCGAGAAACTCCCGTGCGAGCGTAGTCGGCGGGGCCTAAAGGCAGGTCCGTAATCCCGCGTGAACTGCGACTCGACGCGGATCGTAGCTGACAGATAGATAGAGCGAGGCCGACGTCGGAGAGGATGGCGCAAAAGGTGGTTAAGCAGGAGCCACGTCGTGCGCCGTGGCGCAGGTGGGAGTGACTAAAACCGCCCTGAACGCTTGATGCTTATACAGGAACGTTGGGGGCGGCTACTGTGTTACCCTTGGCCACTCTAGGGGTGGCGTCCAATAATCGCAACGCCAACACGATACTGACTTCGACTACGGGTCGTGGGTGAAAAATATCCTTTTCCAAAGATGCGTCCAACTTTTCTACTCAATTTCTTCCTTTACGGTGCATCCACAATTATATGCAATTTTTCAAATGAAAACTTCATTCAACCCTGATCCATGAGTTCTCATTGGTACTCCTTTAAACTGCATTTTCACACTGCTTTATATCAAACCAGGGGATCCTTTCGTACCTGGGAAGCCTTTGTAAGGCGCCTAAAGAAATAACAGTAGGGAAAATAGGAATACGTGTTAGGACGGCATACGAATAAGTATAAAATTATTCTCAGTTATTTCACATACCTCCAGCATTTGATATTTACGAAATACACGTATTTCAAGTCATACGCCGATGTTTGAACTTGGAATGGTTTCACCATATGCGACGAACTCTATAAAAGTCAGGCTCGACATTCCGTCAAGAGTCCTCGGTCACTTTAAGAGGACAGAATGAGAATATGATGTTTGGGATGCTGGATGAGTTGCTGGACCAGTTTCTATGTTAGGATGGACATATGAGAAAAGTTTTTTTTACAAGTTTTTCATATTTCAGCTACAAAGGAATTTCACGTGACTTTTTGGCTTTATCTTTTTTTTACTATGCTTTCAAATTAAAGCATCGGTATCGGCTCTTTTAAGATCTTTTAGTAGTATCTAGGCTTAGATCATTAATTAATACTAATTACTGGGTATTAACTGGGGTTACATGTATGTCGCTTACCCCATGCACTAATTATCATCATCCGGAACATATCCACCCCTATCAAGGGGGACGTTTGAAGTGACCACATGTACCCATCCATGTCAACCATTAACGGGACTTGGCGATTCGACGATTTTTCGGTAACCAGGTTTTAGTCCTGGTTAATTAATTTAGTTGGATTCACAGAAAGACTTAACTGATACTACTTTATCCAATTTTCGGTATTTTCAAAATGAAAAATACGTGGGCGCACGTAAATACCTATCGATTTTTCTCCCACGATTTTACGTATAGCGTTATGTAATGCTGTTGGAGGATTTAAAAAAAAAATCTTTCATCCATGCATAAAAATACCAATGGATTATTTCACACGTGTTGTGTATCGACTTAGAATTATTTACGACCAATCAGAAATCTTCGTGCTACACAATCCCTAAAAACACACTCGTATCCCTTAATCGGATACTACGTATCGTTTTACTTTTATTACGTGCGGAATACGTCGGAGTCCCATTACTTTCTTGTTCATCCAGTGACTGACCAGTAATTCAGATAGATTCTGGGGTCTGATTGGTAAATTGACACCGGTCGTCCCAAGTCCAATAGAACAGACGGACACTCTTTCAAAAAAAAAAAAAAAAAATAATATATATAATACAAATTTGACTAAAATCGAAATAGTATTGTTACACATTATTACAGCTAAAACCTTGACAATCCTCATTTTCATAATAAAATGTATACTATGGCATTTTTCCTTCTCTTCCAGCAGTATTATTTTTTTCCCTCCATGTATTATATGATTCACGCTTTTAGAATAAATTTATCGAATATCGAAAATATTTCGAAATTATTATCGTCACTTTTCCGCGATGCCGATTGGTCGTCGCCATCGTCATTCGTCACAATCCTGCACTGATAAGTAATATAAATCTCAATATGTAAATAGACACACGTTACATATGCTGTCAGTGATAATTAATCCATCCAGCAAATCCGTTTAAACGTGACTTCACTACATCCACGAATTGCATTAATTAAACGCTTACTTGACCGTATCCGGTTACAGATACGCGAAATACAGTGGACGCGCGTGCAGTCTAACCTTAAAAATTCATTCCAAAGTCTCGTGATATGTTAAATTCAAGATTTGTATAAATTTCATAATAATAATATTACGTGAAACAGTATAATTAAGTTTACCTTCAAACGTGGACCAGGCTGCTCTTGTCTCCGCGTCATTTGGCCGTCTTCCCCCGATGTTTCCTATTGACAAAAAATCAATAACGTATATATATATATATATATATATATATATAAATAAGTAATAATATAAAAATTTTCAAAATAAAAATACAAAATTTATACACATAATAAATCGAACACATAGCACCTTGCGGAATTTGACTTCATCAGTCTGACTGGTAAATTTATATATTACGTTTCACGTAATAAATCGGACACAAATGAACACGCAAACGACAACTACGTACTTCCGGAATAAACTGCTGGAAGCTAGTCCATAATCCATAGTAACGAAAAGATTGCAAGAAATTTTCGCAAAGACGAGACACGTGCGAATCTTAATGGAATAAAATGATGATCAAAGTAAAAAAAAAGGGAAGCCTGAACGTCACAAATATTTTTATATTAATTATACAATTTTTATTATTTTAATTGCCAAACGTTTTGTATACCCATAACGAAGAAAACATTCGCCCCAGACTTGGGTGTATCGAGATTTTTATAATTGGCTAATTAATTTGTTTTTTGAATACAGAATTGCTCATTGAGACGTGCAAGTAATAAGATCCTTGTCCTGCAAGACGACACGTACCGGGTGGCGAATTGAAAGCGATAAGGTTAAGTTAAAAATATGAACTCAAAGGTCAGCGTTGACTGTGCCATAAGAAAAAGTGTCTCAAGTATCGTTCTGTATAAATTTTACTGAAACAAGTGTGAATAAAGCTTTAGTGTTAACGTGGGCGATTCGATAAGCGTCCAATCGGCTGGGACAAAGCTATGGATTTGAATTGCGTAACCGAGCGGACAGCACTGTATATACGACAATTAAACCACACGGTTATGTAAATGTTATCCAGTCTGCTTCTGACAGATTATGTCTTGCCGCTGACAACTTCAGGTTGCTTTGACTTGGATTATTTCGTAGGTACGTAACAGCTGAGGACGCTCGGTAAAAAACTCACCCTAATTTCATTGGCTCTGTATTATTATGATTTATGACAAAGAGACTATAGGTAATGAAATTTAAATTGAATCCAAGCTGAGTGAAAGATACTGTAATTTATATCTGATCCAATGACGTGTAAGTACACGTATTTAATTTAACTAAGAAATATACTTTATTATTTTATTAAAAGATACAATTAAGGGTTGATGGTAGAAATCATTTTTTTTTTTTAAGTATCATTGTAACTGGATGTTAGTAGGTATGGAAGTTGCGTCAGGTGGTAATAGGTAAATGGGACTTTGTATTCTAAGCCCCTTTCTGTCGTTTACAACTTGACACACCTGTACCAAGCTTCTGTGGACGTGAAAGTAGCGGGTGGAGTATTGACAAATCCTGATAAACTACTTGAAGTCAGCTGAGGGTTAAGTATTTTGAGTATAGAGAGATTCGAGATTTTATTAATTAAAATGTGAGGGATTGGTCGATTTATCGGTTGTCGAAAATTGGGAGACGGGGGTGTCGTCAAGCTTGAAGGGTTGAAAAACAGGGTTTGGAAATTCTATGACCGATAAGAAAATTCTCCCTCGCTTCGTCTACCCTTTGGTTCTTTACAATAGGGTATAATGCAATAATACTAAGGGATACTATTTTTGTGAATTTTAGGAAAAAATTGTGCCAGTAGTAACTATTTTGAGTAATACTATTGCAAACGAATGAAAATAAGTAATAAGGAATTGATCTTTTTTTCTTTAATATTTGCAATTATAATTTTTACCGATTCTCGGTCGTAGCACGTGAGCTGCAAGTGCATAGCGTATAGTAAATGCACATGCAATAATATGTTGCTACTATCTTCGTTAATGAATCAATATCCAGCTCTTTGTCGTGTTTAGGAAATATAAAAAAAAAAACTAGATCAACTTTGTAATACATATTCGAATGCAATGTCAAGGCAAAGAATTTCTTGTCGTCGTTGCATAATCCCCGAAGTGCACCGATGTTGCAACACTCGGTGCGCTTGACCTATGACGTAAAAATCGCAGGCCGTATACGAGCCTGATGCGCAAGTTGTATGAATTCTACATTGAAAATGAGCCATGCATAATATTCCTTTAGCATTGAAAATGCATTGAACCATAGAAGTGCATCCGTATAAACAAACTTCATATGCAACAGAGAAATTGTATCTAAAATATACGTGAAAATTTATTCACGTGTGAAACGTCAATTAATTAGAAATTCCTTGTGGGAGCCATATTAATCCAATTCCCATATGCACTTTGCAGCTGCATAGTGGAAGAGATAATTAATTAATAAATGTAGGACAAAAGGGTGCAACTAACCTGATATTGAATTGACCTTACACTAAGGACCAGTACCTTCAGTTTTCTTGAATTTGCATTTGAAATACTTTGACCTTTCGTACCTATTTACGACTAGGTATTTCACACGTGTTAATATACATCTATAATGTATATAATATATATCTATAGAGGCTTATGCAAATGCACTTGCACTCACTGATATACTCATCCCGATTTTCTGTGCCGGGAATAGCAATGATGGAAGACGAAACTGCTTTAGTACAAATCCAAGAGAATCCAAGTTGGCAAATAATACTACAATAAATAATAATACATTACTCGAAAGATGTTTACGACTGTATGGTAAGCCTGCGGGAATATGAATTACGTTGTTGGATCCATACGTGCATTGGTACCGAGCCTGATCTTTTTACACGGTTATTACACGTAGTCACTAGCAGTCTGAATAGTATTTAACGAGAGAATTTACGATCCTTTAGATCGCGATGCAACTGTCAATGATCAATGTAAAACCTGCGATCTGCATAAGATCGTTTTCTTGGACAATTTATGAAACTAGTCTCGAAGTAATAAAACTTCCGAAGACGTCCGCTAGTGGCGCTGCTGTTAATGCACGCGGAATTTTGAACTTTGAAGCGTTTTAAATTGACAAACAGGTATGTAATACCGTCGCGACAGTTACTTTCTTATTAGCACAAATATTAATCGTTATACCGTGATAATTAGCTAATTAGAATAGATCGACGTACTACGGAATCCATTGTTATCACGTGAATTCGGTTAGTATATATAGGTTATACGAGCGGGAGCTTATTAAAATTTTCACGTAAGAATGACTTGAGAATTTGATTTATAGGACAAAAAGTCTACAATAAATTTCAATGTATGTTATTAATGGAATATTTTTAATATGGAAAAAGTCGTTGAGCAAGGCTATTCAAGAAGCCACCGGTCAAGTTTGCAATCTTGCAAGTGTAATCGGTGATGCAGTTTATTTTTTTCCTCTCTTGGCGTTTCTCTCTCTTCATACTTAAAGTTTACGTATTACCACGACATTGAACTGACTTGATAAATAAAAATGGAACATTAAGTTTCATACGAGATGATCAGATAGATTTACCAAAGCACTTAAAGTTTTATTAATTTTTTTCTAGAATCTGAAAATCCTTAAGTCAATCCATAATGTATCGCCAATGGTCATGGTGGGAAAATGACCGCCCGGCTGATCGAGAATTGCTTTGATATGAGGTAACGCGCACCGCGCACGCAAGACGCATTACGTAACATCTAAAGTGTCTATAAGGCAAAAACGAATAACTCATTGCGCTGTATTTATTAGCGAATAAAAGTTCGGTCTCTGTGGAAGTTTGTAAAATACTGACGCCTGCAGTGATTCAAAGAAATTCTCAGGCAACTTCGAGTACATTCTACGCAAACAGTTAACATTATATGACAATCAAAAAGCAGCACCGACATTGATAAGTATCGTTGCATCTATCAGAATATATTGAAATGCATTTTCTGTCGTAATCAAGAATTATGCAACTGAACGTAATTGACGTAGACTACGAACAACGTTAATTATTTACGTAAGAGCTTTTGATTTGAATTAACAGTTGAGAAGATCATTTTACATCCTGAATGAATGTCAGAATCTTTTCTGCAATAGACCCGAGGAAGAATATTAGATGCAAATTGGTAAATTTTGTTGTTCTGTCTTATGAAGAGTCTGTTAGGTTAGGTTAGAATACCTGCACGGAACCTTCAATTTTCCAAGTCCCTCTCTAAGTTATCTACCCAAATGCATGCATTACCTTCATAAATATTGGATAACATGAAAATATAGTGATTATCGTGTTAACTCTCAGGATCTGTAGATATTGTAATAAAGAGCAATATTCGTAGAGGTGTCGGTCATATCTTGGCGTACTTGAAACGATGATATTATGTCGTATTACTGCTTATCAGTGAAGCACTGTTGCAGTAGGCGAATGCACATTTCCATACACAAATACAGAAGCATACATCAACACTGACTATTCGTTACGTACAAATTGTAGATGCATTGCAATGGCCGACCTAGTGTACGATAGGATATACGAAGTATACTTTGACCAAAATATAGATATAACAAATAAAAATACTGGGAAGATTAATAATAATGAAAGTATTTCTAAATAAATCCTTAATAATTCATATATTGTTACCGATTTTTTTTTCTGTATCCTCCACGTGGCATGGCAATTCCTTTGACTTTGTCATGTATAAATTTGCTTTTAAGAGACCGTGACAGCTTTTGTGATTGATCACATTAACTGTTATTAATAATACTTTTATTATAGTATAATATGTACTTGTGAGAATGCAATACAGAGAGTGAGTAAAACAATTTTCTGTTTTAGACACGTTCTTGTGAACGGGACGTCTACCTTTCAAGGACAGAAGCCGTGCAGAATGCAGATTTGCGAAAAATGAGATGAGCCGACGAGAATTATAGTATTAAATGTGTAAGTATGCAGATAAATAAAAAAAAGTAGCTCGTAAGTTTCATGCATATTATATTGTGTGGCATACGTATGGGAATAACACAGCTGCATTATCACGTCCTATTTAAAGTGCACCAATTCAACACACGTATTAATGAGCATAACGCATTTCAACTGAGATATTGAGACAGTTTAATGAGATCAAAGTTTATTTGATGAGTATTTAATAAATAGAATGTGGAGGTGATCAAGGGGGAGCAATGAATAGCTGGTAAAATCTATTTTTATGGTAAAAGTAGTGGTTATTTAATGAGTGTGGATACGGTTAGTCAGTTGATTAGAAATTTGTGGCTGACTTACCTCAATCAACGGTGACGGCGGCACGACATTGTATCCCGTGCATGATAACGCGTGACACTCGCGATTTAAAAAATTAAATTACGCAAGGCAGAACGCACACATCAGAAGCGGGAAGTTCTTAACGTATTGAATCTCGCAGTTTGCCGCCTATCCGGCGGAGTCAGGCACCGCGTCACTGAGCTCTTTTTAAAAATTAGAACTTCAAGATGGCAGCACTTTATTCGGCTAACGTTTTGATCGAGAGTCGTTCAAGAATTTTTATTCTTTCACACCTGTTGCGGCATGACATTACTTGCGATTTATCATTTTCATGCTCTTTATTATGAATTATATGTCTGAGCTTTTTTATCTGAGTAAGATGTTTTTGGAGTGGATGATTTGAGGTTGGATATTGAGAATGCACTTTTTTTTCGTCATTTTACTTCTATTTTAAAATGTACAATTTGAAGGTGGATTATAATTAACGTGGATTGTTGTGGATTTTTATGTCTATGCTTGTAAGACAGGTCGCTGATGCTTTCCTTCAAGGGAATCATTGGCTGCTGCATATCCAGTACCTCCCTGCAACAAGTAGCCACTTTTAGTATTTAATAATCTACATTTGTTATATTATATTCAACTATAGTTACCCTTTGCAAAGGTATAATGTCAGCTTCGGTTAGTTTAGTGCTGTCCAGAGGGTTTATCCAATCCTTCTTAATTATCTTTTCTACACATTCCATTGTTACTACGTCGCCTCTGAAATGTACAAATACGATGATTTAATTATGACAGATTAGTTAATATAAATGTTTATTATTGCTAATGATAAACTCACGTTGGCTTTAAAACTGCACAGGGTACGCTATTGCTCAAAATATCATGTGTGATTGGGCACATGTATCTTGCTTGTTTTACGATGAGAGATTTCTTATCATCTGGATCTTTCACCTCTGTAAATTTAACAGGAATAAGGTCCTTAAGCTTTAGCACTTTTCCACTCACAGGGCAATAAATGGTTTTATCAGGCTTCTGTAAAGTGACTTCTTTGGCTTGTGGTGTCTTGGCTGGTATCCAAAAGCTGGGTAATACTTTATCTCGACCATTACTCATATTGGAAATTGATGAACCAGCTTCATCGGAAGATTTCCTAGATACAATATTTTTCTCTCCCTTTAGAAAATTCTGTAGTTTCTCCAGTTCCTCATTTGCTGTCTTTTCTTGAGATTGCTCCTATATAAAATTAATCTAGACATTAATTCCTATAGATTTACTTAATTCAATTATTGAACTTCCTTTCTATACTCATAATCAGACAATACCTTTTCCTTTTGTTTCTGCTTTTCATATTCTTTCAACTTTCTTGTGTATTCTTTCTTCTTCGTTAAGATATACTCGAGTATAGCTTCCTTATCAAAAAGGTACCCATCTTTCCTGTAATGAAAATATCAAATTAATTAAATATTGTTACCAAAGCTTGTTATGTCCATTAAGATATTAGTGCTAAAGTTTTTAACTTACGTTACTACAGGAATTCGGCAAGGTTGTAAAGTCAAACAACAACAATCAAAATCCTTCACTGAATCCTTTCCAACTCTTTGACTATTCGTTCCATAACCTGAGGCTGTGGCGTCCTTTTTTTTCTCGTGGTACGTGTACACAGCACCAGCCGTACAATTTCTTGCATGTCTTGTCATGTTGATCGAACAACAATCACTAGCTTAGTCACAAATAAACCCTCTTTTAGAAGTATGACGATTATTAACGGGACTCAGTAACCTAATGGTAAATACACCTATACAATTTGTCAGCTACTCCAGTAAATCCAAGTAGAACAGTAGCGCCATCTATTTTTTTCACTTTTTCGCAAAATAGGTGGCGTTAAAGTCTACATATCGTTGGGCTGCATCGAATATAGGGCAAAATTATAATAAAATAAAAATACTAAAATCTCATTTATTTACAAATCTCCCGTTTACAGTAATATATATACAAGTACAGGATAAAAGTCCTTAATATTATTCTTTTTCACTATCCTCATCAGAATCAGAGTCTGATGAACTTTGTTTCTTATGCTTCTTATGTTTTTTGTGCTTGGACTTCTTCCTCTTTTTCTTATGTTTACGCTTACGTTCTTCCTCAGAAGAGGAGTCCTCTGAATCAGATTCACTAGTTTCAGACTTTTTACGCTTCTTTGATTTCTTTTTACTCTTCTTCTCCTTGTGCTTTTTCTTCGCTTCCTTTAATTTCTTCTTGAGCTCCTTTTCCCTTAGTTCCGTCAAAGGAGTAACATAGTTCTCATCACTGTCCGAACTAGTGCTACTCACATCGAGAACAATTTCCTTGTTAGGATCGACTTTGATAAAATTTCTGCATTGATAAGTCAGATGTCCAGCATAGCCACACTTTTTACACGCTGGTCTAACTTGCTCCTTACTCTGAGGTATCAATCTTGATAAAAACTCAGGATCCATCACCTAGAAAAAAACAATTCCAACTTCATTACCACCAAAAATTCAATAATCATAACAACAAAAACATGAGAGATTAGAGGTTACTTTAACTTACAGCATCCATCATACACGCAATAGCTGTTTCATTACTGTAAATCTAATTACCTCACGGATGTAATTAATTCGAGACGTTACTACAGAGCAAAAAGCAGCTTTCCTTCACTATTTAAATAAAACGGAAATATCGACGGCACGCAACACTATGCGATCACAGCCATATTGTTTGTATATGATACTGGCGCCATCTACGGTAACCAATTTCTACAAAGCTTACCGTTATTCGAAATACAAATTTTCCCTGAACTACCTAGCGACATTTATTCTACGTATCCTAAGAATCATCGAGTTTCCCTCAAATATTTGCATTTCACACTACACGTAATACTGAATACTACATTCAAATTAAACTATCTCGAATCATTAATAATTAAAGAAATCCAATGAACGGATCTAAAACTGTTATAAATTTTGCTACCTTAATAAATTTCTATTATTCAGTACACTATACTATATATATCATATATCACATCTCAAAGGAACGTGCAGGTCGTATTACTTGCATAGTCATGTAAAATGAATGTATTTATTACAATATTATAAAATCTACACCGACACGTGTCACAATAAAATATATAGCTACGAGACACACCGTCGCCCGGTAAATTTTGAACGACGGCAGGTGAACTCGGCTTTACGAAAAATACATCAACGCGAAATACATCCAGTACAAAATAAACACATTTATATAATTCAATACAATACGCCGTTTACTCTATAAACTATATGATTTTTAGAATTGTAGTCTCTAAAACTTCGTCATCATCGTCTCTACTCTAATCTACATATACATACATGTCTACTCGATATAGGACACTGATCATTTTTCTATATTATTCACTATTATTATTTCTCTTTCTTCTTATCCATCTATCTCTATGCCTCCCTGCCTAATTCTTCAACGTTCGTATATTAAAATATCAGAAGGAAATTAAAAACATATAAAAAAACGTCAACCGACCAATGAGATAACAACATGTCGCGCTACAGAAGTGAAATACTTCACGATTAAAATATCCCTTTAACTTTCGCTTCTCTTCGTAAATCGTTCGTTATATCTTTGACATTTAAGTATATCGAAGCACGACATTAATTATTCGGTATTTATCTATATATCCCACTACATTTTTTATTTTTTTCTCTTTGCTTATTTTCTTCGACGAACAACAATTATTAGGGCTTGTATCAGTGTAACTTTTTTCTTTTAAATTTCCTTTTTTTTTCCTCTCCCCCCCCCACTTCTCTTTTTCTCTCGCTTTACGAAAAAAAGTCCAATTACAGATTACTAGATATTATATCACGTTCACGAGACAACAATTATTGTGAATTCGTGGTCCTCGGAGTTTCGAAGGTAGTCGTCATTCTCTTTAGAAACATTTAATGACCGCGTTAGTTAATATCTTCTTTCTCTCACTCGCTCATTTATATACGCTCATTCGTACATTTACTCTCTCTCTCTCTCTCACTCTCTCTATATATATATCTGTCTCCCTTGCTCTCTATCGACCCTATATCCCTTTAGGAGAAATTCGCCGTCTCTATATATCCATAAAATGGCAGCACTCGTACGATAAATCCATGTCAAACGATGGTTCAGTATACAATATAAATTACATATAGATATTACAAGGACAGTCGAACATAGTTATTAATTTACATTATGATAATTGAACATTATTCATACGTCGCTCGAGCAACATTACTACTATATATTACATATAACAGAGACTTTGGGATATATTTTCATGAAAACGTTTCTGTCTGCTCAATTCACCATGAATGATATACATATACATATATGCATACATTAGATATATAAATACCATTGGTGTTACGGGGCAGGAGCGAAGGGGTGGTAAGTGGCATCAGTAAAGGTTGCTTAATAAATTCAAAAATTCGAGCAGTCGTGCCGGTTTTCAATGTTACGTCATACCTCGACGAAGAAAAACAACGTTCAATTAATCCTCCAACGGAAAGTTCCTTATAGAAATAATTAAATTACGAATACGTTCAAGTCACTTTCATCGAATTTTTGCAAAAAAAAAAAATTGGCAGAAATGTCAATTCTCTCGTCACTTAATCTACGACATACAATATACCATATCATCCGACGCTACTGTAATAAAGCACTATGCTATATCTACCATTATGAACTAGGATCTATTCTACAAAAATAAAAAAAAATTGCAGTTTCGCATAAATCTTATACATATACGTTTTCCGGTACGATGTATCATTGATATCAGGTAATTGATGGTAATTATGGGAAAAAACACGATTTTTATCTGATCATCATAAATAATAAAAATAATAAAATTAAGTGAAACGCACTTTCGTCACGGTTAAAACGGAGTAAAAACAAATATCAAAATTCACCCTTTACCTCCTTATATAAGTTTTTAAAATTATTTCATAACTATACGGACGCGTACCAAGGTCATTTCGTTTTATTCTCATTTCTCAATATCCTACCTTAACCCTCTTCGACACTTTGCCTGACCACCCCCTATACTTTTTTTTTCTATTTACTCTCGTTAATTCTTCGAACGCTTTTTTCACCAGTTTGTCCAAAGTAATGTTAATGTAAAGTAGTCGCAGGTCTTACGTCGCAATTCTACAGGGTGTATCGTATGGATCATGTGCAATACGGTACACCCCGTACATATTCGCTTATTATTCGTAATTCTTATGTCAACGATATACCCGGTTATTCAGTCCTAACCTGACCTAACCTGAACATGGCTGTACCATAATAATTAAATAAATGCGTTTGGACCGAACAACCCGGTATAACAAAATATAATGTGAGTTATCGTCAATCGTGTATACATTTATACATATATAATATTACAATAGTGCGCTGTGTTATCATTCGCACGGAAATACAATTAATTATATATATATATATATATATATATATATATATATATATTCCCCCGAATCTCCGGTCTCCCGTACCAATGTATTCGTTTTCGTACTCGTATAAAGGAGGATGCGGATTCGGGCACATGGTATAGAAAGAAAATCGATAGTATTACTATTATCTAGGAGTATTGTTATTATTATCATCATTACCATTATTATTCTCGCGCTCTCGATATATATATAAAGGGTTGTTCACGGCAAACGCACCAGCTGAAATTGGCCCTGAGTGGGTGATTTCATGAATCAGAGCAGGGTGGCATCATTAAAGAACTGAAAGTTAACGTCATAACATAGCTAAGATCAGGAATTTCATATTATTTAATTTGTTTAACAAGACTACATAGCCCCGACTAACATAGTTGTTCAATTGCGTCCAACTTCAGCCCGTACGTTTGCCGTAAACATAATATATATATATTATGGATTATTCAGTAGAAACGCACCACCTGAAGTTAGCACGTCCATTTGAGTCTTATGGTAAAACCATGTTCATATGGTGCGTTTGGGTCGAATAACCCAGTATATACATATATCTCGACTCCCAGCGGAATCCAACGTCTCTTATTTGGCTTGGTGTAAGTTCGGGAAGCTCGCTCGATAGGATCCACTGGGTTATCTTCGAGACTTTTTTCTTTTTTAATTGAGTTTCCGTAATTACCCCTATGAGAAATAACGTCTTCATATCTTTTTACTTATACCTTGGAAATATCGGCCGGCTAACCATACCCAGCTGATACATACGAATGGGGCACGCATATGGAGGAAACGCTAGAACGTCGGAAACTTTTCTTTCCTCGATGCATTCGAATGGGTTAATTATGCTTATGATTTCCGGTCTACTGTGTTCGCGTGAATATTTCATTATCGCGAAGTTACCACGGATTTTATTATTATTTCACGTTAAACGTATCTTTACGACTCGCGTAGTATCTCATGCATTTAACTTGATTTTCGCGCAATGTAATTTCTTCGTTTTGCTAATTTATGTGATTTTCGTTTGAAAGTTTTAATATACGGAAATTTTTTCACTCGATTTATTGTGCTTTTTATTTTTGACTTTACTATTTCTCATAGGGGCTTCACGAGATGCACTTTATTATCTACGTCCGTAATACTGCACTTTCGGAATGAACGATGCACTAAAAAGTATATGTATATATATATATATATATTTATTTAATGCATATATATATATATATATATATATATATATATATATATACATTGTATAGATGGAACAAAAAGTCGCTAGTTACAGCAAACGTTATCTGGTCCCACGTATCTCCAAATGTTATCATCGTCGAATGATATTTGTTAGCGCGTTTCATTGGGTAGCATTCGATTTACCTCATACGCATCATTTATTTATCTCCTCGTTCGCTGCCGAGGAGTCCGGATATTGTTGTTCCTGTTTTTCTTTTTTTTCCTCCCGGATAAACGCTGTCTGCCAACGCAAGACGCCCGGCGTCGCGGTCGTGAGTCAAATTCGCGTATTCTTTTTTTTTTCTTATTATTTTTTTCTTTTCTCTTCATTTTAAGTATCTATTCCAATATCCATACCTAGAGTGATCACAGCTTGACAGAAGGCGTGTTAAATACATTATTACAGTATATAGATATACATAGTCACGTTACGCAATTACAAGTACTGTAACGCAGTATGGGACGAGCTATTTACAGTGAACAGACGCGTAACGCGTAACACAGAATGATTTTGCATAAAAGTCTCAAAATATACCACGAGCTTAGGTCGGAGCTTTATAGTAAAGAATTAACTCCGCTCGAGTAAATACGACGCGCCTATTGAGTACGGAGCGTTGGGTTTTGTCAACACTTTTTTTTTTTTTTAAAAAAGGGAGAACAAATTTTCCCGATCAAACCGAGCGATATCGTGACGCCATTTTGTTGATAATCGATCCCAGCGCGTCATCGATATGGGACTTTTGATGCGACGAGGTGCGGTATCTATGGAGATGTGCATCTTGATGTTATCTGGCGGTTTGATGGTGGTGGAAAAAAAAAATGTATGGAAAACCGCTGGTACAGTCAGGTTTTTTATCCTTGACCTTGATAAGACATTTTTTAAGATAAGTATATACGTCCGATAATGCACTGCGAGACACGACCTTCTCACAGTGCTTTTATTATATATATATATATGTATCCTCGAGTGCAGAACGATAATCGAAAAAATTCGTGATCGCTGTAACACGGTTTTCGGATATTTATTTTTGTGGTTTTTGTTGTTTCTGTTCCTTTTTCTGTCTATTTAATTTGTTTGTCTCGTCTGGTAGCGTCGTATTCGCTAATAAGACAGTGTTTTGTTTCGTCTTGAGATATTTGTGGAGTTTCTGTACTTCTCCTTCGTCCTCTTTTGGCCTTTTGTCTTTTAGGTTAGGATTATATACGATCCCACGTACCATTCGGGATTTATGACAGATCCCCAGGGTTTCGCGAGGCACTTTTTCCTTTCCGACGGACACTTCGGGTACAACGTTATAACGGACCTACGCCCTTGGGTCAATACTCAACGCGCGACAGTCGCAATTGGCTGTCCCTTCGCTGGGCCGTTGCTTTCGACACAATAGAACCTAGATATGTGCTCCTGCCAGTCGTCGTCTGCTCGACTGGCTATTATAAAAATATAGCCAAGTCGAACGAACGAATGTCCCACGAATCCAAAACGCATACGAGAATCTTCAGTACAGAGTATATAAATAGTATGCACATGTAAATAGCACGGGAGTATTATATTGCACTTTGATAGCTTTTCTGTTTTTATATTTTTGCCCAACTTTTATTCTTGGCAAGAAGTAAAGCTGTAGACGAGTGTATCCTTATATTTGGTTTTCTTTGTTTTTGTTACAGGAGTGTTCGTCAAGCGTAGCCATTGTCATCACTGGACGTTCTTGTGCTGAGAAACTACGCCACTGCGGTAATGTTCCGTCGTCATTGTAATGCAGGCACCGACAGGATTGGAACGGATTAATGACAGAAGCTTTATAGCGTCGGGCGAGTATCGTCGAGATTCTTATAACCTTAAAATGGACGGAGAAAGCACATCGAATGGCGCGCCAAATATAGTGGGAGGATATTTTGAGATTATTAAAAGGAATGAGAAAACGGTGAGCATTGATCTGTGAGAATTTTTGCATTGACGTAAATGGGGGAAAACGTTGATTCGTGTTATCCGATTTTTTTGGTCCTTCAAGGTACCAGCGTGGGTGTCTTAACTGAACCAAACAACCTGAACAACGAGATTGTACGACTTGGGTCAGGAAGCATGAGGAAGCTCTTCAACGAGCACGTGGAAGCGTACCAACCAAAGGGAACGAAAGGATCTTTATGGAGGAAAGGAAAAATCCCAGAGAGCAGGTATGTGTTCTTAGAAAGTAGACTTTTGCACTCATTGTTATAGCCAGAGTTACATCCTCCAGGTTGTACGGTTCAGTTAGGTTAGGTTAATCGACCGTAAATTCATAGAGTTTCTTTGCAGTTGGCGCAGGAAGAGAATCCTAAGAATGCGAGGCTAAACCAACTCTCCCTGTTGTGGAAAACCGGTTCCGGTTCGACGAAATGAAAAGTCCAGGAGGTATCCTGGCCGTGGAACTTCGTCGGGATTGATTTTTTTCTATAGTCTGGCAACGTCCTACGTAGTGTCCATAGGTCGCAGCCATCCGTTATAAAAATTTGCCAATACAGCGAAATGAGGTATGGTGATCTAAGTATCGCGGTTAAGGCTGGATGGAGCGTTTTGGATTTGGGGACTGTCCAGCTTCCTGAATTCGTTTATACGTTTACATGCTGACTATCGACGATCTTTTCCTCTAGAGTTCATAGACGTCGCGGCCATTGGGTCTGGTTGCTGTCGGACGGCATGATGCTGGACTCGCGTACGAGTGAATAATATGAACCCTAAGCTTCACGTCACCGGAAGCACGACCTCCGTCGCCCCGCTGACGCCTGGAGAAACTCACCGTGGTCTTGCAGCAGCAATAGTGGAACAACTTGACGTAGGCGCTCCTGAAGTGACGATCGGCCACGCAATACAGAAGATTATTCACGCATGACTTTGACAGGGCGAACCAGGCCAGGTTATAATGGACGTGCACGCTCACGTGGCGCACCGAACTCACGCAGATGGCCACGCCGAATGGAAGCCAGAATACAGCAAACAGGGCGAAGCTATACATATTCGTCTTGGTTAGTTCGTAGTCCCAGGCGAAGGTGATTGGCTGCTTGAAGGAACCCCGTGTCGCGCCGCGAACTCTCATTACCAGTCTGAAGTAGAGGAAGATCGTTATCAGGGCTGGTAGTCCTACCAGTATGCTAGCGCCAGCTGCCTGCTCCATGGCGATGCCATTGAACTTTCCTCCGCAGAAATCTGGACCCAGGTCGAGGGATGATTGGAGTCCTACTGCCATGGCTGCTATGAGCCATGCTACTAGGATCACGGTTGTCACCTTGCCAGGAGTCAAGGCTGCGTACCTAAAAGAAAGCCATTCGATAGTTACTATAGCAATTAGTACAAGTATACATTATAGAAGAAAAAACTGCTATTTTATGTACATTATTTAGTGGTTAGGGTTACTTTGGACCTTGGAACGGGACCATATAAAATTTTAAGTAGGTATTAGCTAACTGTGAGCTCTATTGATTATTTCGGGCTCTACATATTAAATTTACCTTTCAGCCGGCAGACACAGCCTAGCGTAATTTTCTGCTGCTATTGTCGCCAGGGTCAGGACTGTCACCAGGAAGCACAGTGCCTCCAGGGTCCATTCGAATCTGCAGGTACTCAGCAACTCTTCTTGACCGGCTAGAATTACTATGGCTGAGGCTGGTATCACCAGACCGGTCACGAGGAGATCAGCTAGCGCCACGTTCACCAGAAAGGCATTTCCTGTTTGCAAAATGAGGAGCATGTTTTTTTTTTTTATTCGTCAATATCAAAGTGGAGGTTAGAGGAGGTAAAGAGGATATTACAGGACCTTTTCTGACCTTTTATTAGAAGATCACATCGGCCATTGTTAGTTGATTTGCAAAGAGCTTGTTACTTTTTTATCCCGTCGTATCATAGAAGTATTATAGGGAAAGTTTAATATTACTTTTTTTGTCCTTTTCTTTTCTAAACCACAATACCAGCCCCCAGCGATAATCAGAAATATCAGCTTTTATGCTTGATTACTCAGCTACTGTAGTTATGTATACCGATAATACGTGTCACCTTGGACAATTTTTATGATTATCAGAATTTATTCAATTTGAAAGTTGGACGTGACCAGGGGTCTCAACAGTTTCAATTCTTTTCAGGGAATTTTATTGGGATATCCAAATCTTCCAGGATTCTACCTTTCTTTATGTCCCGTTTTATCTCGTCTGAGCAGCAGGGCTACTTTTGATCTTTTTCTTGAACGCTTTGAATTCTTTTATCTCGTAAAGTCTGCGCTCTCTACTGTTTCGCTCTTTGTGCTGCCTTGCACTGTTTCTTTGAAATAGACAATTTTCTAGAATGGCACTTTGGACAATTTCGTTACACGCAATTCGCCATGAGAGACGAACACGTGAAAGCATCGGATGAACCCCCGTTCTTAAGAATATTTCTGAAGATTATCTGTACCTACTGCGCAACCCACCCTGTAACACCTGAGGAATAGTAAATGCTGTGAGAAACGCCTATTCTGAGCTTTCTAGAAGAAGAGTGGAAAAAAGTCGCTTTGCCAGCTGAAAATAAATTGAACAGATTGAAAATCCCCAGTACTGGGATACGTGACCACTTCGGAATTGATTCCTTTGGTTTGGCTGGCAGAGAGTGAGCAATGTCGATATTGCAAGCGCACTGCTGGATGTCTCACAAAAGCCAAATAAAAAACATAGGTATGTGGAGAATCTATTGGAAATGAGAAAAATCTTTTTTTTTTTTTTAATATCAAATAAAACTTACCCCTTTTTTTCAGTTGATCCTCGACCATCACGGCGGAGATCATGAAGACGTTACCGACGCTGCCGACGGCTGCAAGTGACGTGAATAGAAGAACTCGAGCTACCCTCGACCAATCTGCTGACAAGGTTACTGGGGATATATCCAGGTCGCCGTCGAACGCAGTACTATTACCCAAAGCCATCTTGGGATTTAGAGCTACGACTTCGGCGACGGTAGTGCTGGTTGTGTCGCCCACGATGCTCGAGTTCATCCTGAATCTATGGGCAGAGGAAGAAACTTCATGAAAAAGGCGTCGGGACGCTTTGAAAACTTGATAGAGATTAATGGACGCCAGGGAAAATCGGGGACCCCTTAAACAAATGTGAAAGGAGTATATCTAGAAATTGGAAGACTGCCAGGATCATTCGATTGTACCAGCAATGGAATACCAACCTGTAATTTTTTTTCCTTTGCTCCCATCCTCGTGCTCTATGTTTTTTTTTTTATTCATAGCGGGTTAAACCGAGGAGGGCACTGTAAATGTCGGGTCGCACTTGTTGCACCGTTGGAAACTGGATGATTCTACGTAGAACACATTTTGGGCTACCCCTCGGTAGCTCTTTACTCCATCAGATTTGAATTCTATACGTGATATCGTGCCGTGGAATTGCTTAGACACAATGGCCTCATTTTGTATTCACGTATGCATGCAAAGTATCCGGTGCGTTACTTTTTTTTTCAGTGACGAGCTTCACATTTTATACAGCTTAGATTGGCCTCTTTTTAACCAAGTTGTTGGGGCAATGAAGGGGGGAAGAGAGAGGGGGCTGATTATTTATATTAGAAAGGTTTTTTTGTCGGCTGCGGATATTTCATGTTTTTCAAAAACACGTCCTGACTGCTACATGCTGAGATCATTTTACGCAGGTAATTTGAGTCCCGAAGCTGAGAATTCTCGTGACTCTCCCGTAGGTATTCAATTTCGCATTGAACGTATGAAAGACGGCCATGTAATGTACTTAACGCCTCGTCGTATAATTCTTGTAGGTTAAGATTCGTGTGAAACATCGAAGCAACGTATACGGAATTCTTTTTCCAGGGAGCCATTTGTATTTATTTATTGCTCTCTAGTCTCTTTCGTCGAACGTAGGACCTCATTTTCGAAAGAAATACGCACGTGTATATATAAAATCGATCTTGAGCTTGGAGATGCCCGAGACAAAGGGACGCTGTAAGTAAAAATAAGTAAAATTGACAGAAAGATCATCCAGGTGTGAAACTGGGAGACAGACGAGGGACAGACACGAAGAAACGTGAAGATTTAAAAAAATTTATATTAAACGTCTTAAGAATATTGGCATTTCGCAAGGTACAACCTTCAAGCCTCATTTACGCCATTATTAAAGATAGAACGTTGACGCATAGCTCCACTCCTTTCAAATGTCACCGTCCTTTCCGCTCCTATTCGAATGCTGTATTATAATAAAAAAACAAGGTTGTTAATTTACAATATTTAATATATTTATCATTTTCAAAGAACGTCGATCGGACGTTTAATTCGAAATTAAATTCCCTAGACTCGGCTGTCGATGCGCGCGCAACTGGGGCCAACGTCACCGCCTGAAGCCACATAATGGGTACTCGGTTTTGTTGTGACCTGTACAATGGTCTGTCTGGAGTTAATCGGCGGTTGTGAAATATAATAAGACTGAGAGACACAGATCGTTGCTCTGGGGGTACAAGAAAACAGCCAGGATAATCTCATTGTCCAAAAACCCCATACGATTGCCTGAATACCACAACCTAAAAAGTTTACCCTGAACGCATAACTACAACGTTCTTTTGTTGTAACCTATACAAGTTTAACACCTGGACACGTCGTTAGAGGAAAGTCTCATTACGTCTCGACTTCTCGTACAAGAAATCTCAGGGAGAAAATCCTCTCGTACTATCCTGAATGCACTCTAATCAGCGTCAGTTTACTCTGGGTGTAATTGCAGGACAGAATACACATCGCCTATCCGTCCCGAATCCATTCTCAGCCACCTATCAAATTATCCGGAGAGTTTCGCTACGCACAGGATGATAGTCCTATCCTGTATAGATTGGGGTTGGATCCTCTACGCTTCAAGCTGCATATGCATATATTCCTTATGCGAAATTTCAACCTAAGGTAACTAGTAATTGCACTATCCTGGTGCAGTCACCACTTTAACGACTCATTGGCAATCTCACGCCTCGTCGGGCATCCTCGAGGGCCTATCCAGTGTGCACCAGGGAATTGCATGGTGCGTGCAAGGTCAAACGAGCCGTTAAACCCTTAATAGATCCTCGATGTATATGGGGATTATTAACGCGATCGTAAAAATCCTAAAATCATTAATCTCCTAGCAAATTCCAGTCACTAATGAGAGGGTTAATTCCCTAGAGAAATTAAAACTACGATATAGCGTTACCAACTTAACTATTATAGCTTTTTTCTTTTTTTTTTAAATATCTAGCGGTTCGTTCTTTGTTTTCAAAGTTTCTTCCTTACTTGATACATCTATCGTGTGGCCGATGAATTGGAAGTTGTGGAGAACTTACTGGCAGGACCATTAAAGTTAGTTCACTTTATTCTGTGAAGAGTCCAAGACTTCGTTCAACGTCTGCAAAACTACGTAGGACAAAGGGATGAAGAAATAGTATGTACCATTGATGCACCTTTTGTTTTCATTACTATGTTTTATTTGGACTAACTCGGATGCGACGTATCTCATTTTTAGGTTAACTTGGAAGGTTGGGTTGTCCGTTTTCCAGAAGACGTCTTTTAATTCGCATGATTCTTCCACTTTCTGTAATCCGGAAACATAAATCGACGGGAGCTCGGCACGAGAGAAGTATACAGATTGATCGTCCGTAAAGGGAAAAACGCTGGGAAGCCGATACAGACACCATATTTTCCCTCGATCTCAAGATATCGCAGTCCCCTCTCGTTCTCTATCTACAAAACGGGAACGAAAGCGTTTTGTCTTATCCAGAACAACGTCGACGGGGTCAACAATTTTGCCAGAAGAAGATAAACGTGAATTCATTCAACGTTCTCCAAGCGTCTAGACACGTAGATAGAGACACCTTATCTCTAGGTATAAATCGATATAGGGACACAGGTCTAACACTATGAGCTCGTATCGATATCGAATCAGGATGCTCGAGATTTATGTTGGATTTTATCCTTGATCAAACGGGTACTAGCTACGAGAGTGCTACTGTAGCAAAAATATATTAAATCGCACCACGTGAAAGTGATGGACCGGCCGACTCCGTTCGTAGAGAGATTTGCAATAACGTTTGACCTTTTGACACGTGGTACGTTGATGGCATATTATGTGACCCAGGAATTACCTCAGGGCATTTGTACAAGTTTCTGATCCCCCACGGAATAATGACCGATAACATTAATCCGACCAGTCCTGGAGGAGCAGAACTTGATTAATTAGCGCGGGAGAGACCTTTTCCTGCGGACGCAACCTTGTGTCTTTAAGACTGACGTCATTACGTGAGTATATGGCGAATTATTTGGAATTTATGGCCCGCTAGGATCACTTTACTTCCTTATGATATCGGCAAGCGGACGGAAGCAGGAATTTGAGAAGAATGGTTTCTTCTCGGGGCGATGGGAAATAAAATGAAAGGAGGAGTAGAAGCGTGTGGAGTTATCGAGAATTTAGGAGAGAAGAAAGAATTCAGGAAGCGGTACAAAGAAGAATACGGTTATAGAAATTTACGAGAATCCATCGCTCTTGTGGAAACGCACTTTATGGCGGTGACTGAGTATTGCGCGTTAACCCAGATTTACATGTTCGTAAAGCCAACAGTCATCAACGAGTCTTTCGCTCTTAGAAAATACTCTAGAAACTAAGTCAACTGGTCCACGACCTCAGCTCTGCCATTTGCCTCAGGTGAAATAGAGTCCCTGTATGCTAAAACGTGATATTAACAGAGCATTAAGGAGGGTTAGGTCAATATTGTTCTTAGACACTAATTGCTATATTATAATTCTCATGTATGATTTCATTATCAGGGAATCGGAAGCGACTCTTGACCTTCTGGTGTACCCACATGAGACCCAGCTGAATAAATAAACAGAGAGCTCAGCAAGAAGCAAACAAACTGGATTCCTGGTGAGAACAGGTGGCTAAAATAGGACTAGACAGTACTCTACAAGCAGACACCCTCTAAGCCAAGTTCCCAGCATCGGGTTGATGTAGAGGGTGAGCTAAAAGGTGATGATAATACTGGTCCCCCAGTGAGAAAATGTTCTTCATTACGTAGAGTGCTATTATCATTGAGAAGAAAATGTCCCAGGGTGTACCATGAGAGTTGGTACAGTACTGTACTTCAGAGGTATAGCTTAGTACGAGACCAAGAGGGTTGAGGTACTGTGTGGTTCAAACTCAACAAGCTTCTTTGGCATCAGGACTCTACCTCAAAGATAGAAATAGCCCTGTATATGACTTATCAAGTAATTATGTTACTGAGCTCGTGAAACGATGGAAATGATCATCCAGTAATTGTGTTTTGTTAACAAGTGCAAAGATTAGTGACGGCTGCCATGAAACAGTAAAGACTAGAAGAGAAAACCCATGTAAATATATAACCTCTAAAGTTGTCTGGGACGCTCCTGAAGAAACTTGATATGAGTTGGGGTTAATTGTGGGGTGTTACTCTGGAATAGTTATAGGGGTTAAATTTTTTACAAGAATGCCTGGAATACGGCGGCTCTTACTCTGTAAGAATAATGAACAATGAACGTTTAAAAAAGATATTTTGGCTAGACAACTGCCGTTCATCATGTGAACTTGGCTTCGTCTTCGGTATGCTGGTGTATGTGCAACTAACCATACTGTATAGCTTAGTAGTATATTATCAGCAGAATGAAGTAAACGTGCCTTCACGAATTTTTCATTTTAAATGCCGAGAGAAAATAGCATGGTGTTGTGCGGATATATATTGGTGCGCCACATAATACTGCTTGTCTAAATATATCGTGTGGGGTCCCGTGGTAGGGGTGAGAAATTTAATATCGTTCGGCTGCAGCTACGAGGGTGACAGGAGACCCTCTGCAAAGGTCTCAACATCTCCGCCGTAATATTGAACAATATTCCGGCTACAGGGTATACGAGTTGGGTAAGGCAGTAGCTAAGTAGTCAGGTATCCTTAAGCCTTGTTCACGCATGCAGCATGAATTTCGTGAGTATCGTAATTTTTCAAGAAGGCCAAGTACTTCGTGTGGCTTTCTAATTTCGTTGTGTAAACAGTCAACGGCCTTGGCTGTTCATACTCCAGCACAATGCGTCAGTATACACTTGAAACATAGAACAGGAAACAGAACAAGAGTGCGGAGTACCTTTTTTGTCCTGCTGGCTTCTGTCATCATCCAGGAGCTTCCTGATCTTTAGTTTTCTTGAACTGGCTTCTGGTTTAAGCTGAGTTTTAGCACTTAACCTATCGTCACTCACGCCATGAATATGTAACAGAAACACGGGCGGCTCCGGCTTAAGGTTAAGTCGAAGTTTTGTTAAACCTAACCTAACGATTAAACAATTACGATTGATCAACTCGAACGACGAAAACCAGTCCGGAATGAGCTTACAATTAGGTAATCTAGTTTTGGTGTAAACTTAAACAGTAAAACTGTACCTGAATCGCAGACGTTTCTCATGAAAAATTGACATGTTTTTCTAGAGCCTTTCGTGAAAATTCTATTCAACGAGTTTCCTTTGGCAAGGTAAATTTAACAATTTATCTTGCTTTAGACAGACTTAACCTTATTTTTTTTCGAGCCAATCATCAATCGTTACCTCGTCAGGTTTACTTTGCATAGACCAGAAAGGGCGACGAGACAATGATTACTTGGGTCGATGTTCATTCAGTTCGATGATTTATATATTTTCTTGACTTTCCTTTTTAACGTCAACATGTAATCAGTCGTTTGCTTTTTTCTGGGTTTTATTTTTGTTAACGAACTGCAAACTAAATATATAATATATTTTGCTTCATTTGATAACCAATCACAGGATATCGTACAGTGGTTATTATCGGAACGAGAAACAGCGAGTGGGTGTGACGTTCGTTGACATGGAATTTGACACGTATTGATTTTCGCAAATTCCGTAACCAAAGGGTGAACTCCATTAAAGGCATTAACTGTACGGTCACGTCAGATTGGAAACTCCATCATTACTCTACGTCGCATAAAGGAGATAAACAATTCTAAAAGGCTGGTGAGCTTCGGAGTGAGTCTGTCGAGAGAATATTTAAAAGAGATCTTCAAGGTCCCGTACCTCCATGCTTTTCCATCCTTTCGCACGGTATTAGTATATTCTCGGAATAACGGTAAACGAATAAAGAAACGTAAGACTGTTAGTTGCGTCACGAATTCCCATAAAAAGATACACCCTGCGATTAAGCATCAGCAAAAGAAAATATTTATGAAACCATTTATAAGATATCAAAGGTAAAAACGACTTTCTGATTTCCATATAACTGCTAATAATCTGAATTTTAGATTATAAAACTTATAGTCTGTTATATTATTGTTTAGCTGCTGGTCATGAAGGGCTGATGAGCAGTGTACTACTATTACCATACGATACTATTGACGAATCGGAGGAATGAAAATTCAAAGGAAACCGGACAGTATGAAAATCCTGAATAAGTGAAGTAAATATACTCTTATCATGGATTCAATCTTAATTACAGATCGAATCGTGACGCGTGAAGAATTTTAATCTAATCAGAATGCTCCGTCACGGATGTGATGCAATTGAAGAAGCGCTGACAAAGCTGAATACAAAGTAACGGAATTGACGTTTGTAGACCCAAGTATTTGGGGTAAGTGTAACTTTTGGTCCCCTTTGCACAAACTTATTATGCAGCGCTCGTCTTGTTTCCCTAATAATTGTATAAATTTTCATTTCCACTTCTCCTTTAGTTTCATTTTTTTTATGCTGCAACCTCTTCCACTTGCAACGTCTATTGTTATTGTATCCCAGGACCTGAAGGATTCTGATAGCTTTAGTAAAATTCCCATTGATTCTACCAGGGACGTTTTTTCATGCGCAACCGCCACTTCTTGCAGATGCTGGCTTCGTTCGATGCTGTTACGGGCTTTCATGCAAACACGCCTACAGCCAGGACCAAACTACCCGGACCCAGCATCCTTCCTGATTGTATCCAGCAGATCGGGCAGGAAGAGCATTTCTAGTAAACGAGGAAACTTAATTGTTAATGGAACGCTTAATTAAAAGGAGCAGGGGCGAACCTGGTATACGTGTATAGGCTGTGGCAGGGATCCCGAAGCGATTCAGAAAATGGCCAGGATCTCGTTCAATGCGCCGTTTATAAATGGCTGAAGATAGCAGCAATTTGCGGAGATTTATAATAAAAAGGGAGAGCGAGAGAGGGGTTGGATGGACGATAAAGTAAGGGATGTACCCAGGTATCAAAACGCCTGTGATTTCCAAGATGAAGAGGAAGTGGAACGAGCAGCCACTCACGCAATTAACACAGCTTCCAATAGCCAGAGGGAAAGACTGTGGAGTAGATCCTCTGGTGGATTCTCGACGTGCAGCTGTCCTTCCGTTTTATTCACGTTAATGAGAAACGTCTGAAGAATCAAGATCCTGTGCAAGAGACAACATTTTTATTCATAAGGATACACTCCTGACCGAATGACTCCTGAGACGAGGTCAAGTCGAGGCAATATCATTTTTCAAACCATAACACACGATGCGCGAAGACACTTGGAAACGTCTAAAACGACTTTCGCCTTTTAACTTCCTATAAGTTCGTCGAGGATGTACGTATGTACCACCTGTTACGACGTATCGCTCGTTTACACTTCCTCAATAAATTACTGGTTTAATACGTCTGCAGTTCTACACATATGCGAGATACAAGTACTTACCAGGAGCCTGAAAACGGTATTCATGATTCAATGAAATACTTGGTGTGAAAATTCATAAGAGTACTTCTTAATGAGAGGATGAATAAACGAAACAAAAATTCTCCTAGAAGTTCTAGGGTCTTTTTTTTGGCTCTCCACTAAATGAATGTCAGGACGATTTAATTATCTAAGAGCAACATTCACTGCCACAGTGGGAAATTGTAGAGATACAGTGTATCAACTTCTCGCGTGTTTATGCCAACACAAGTTAAATTACTAATTGCAACCGAATCGAATATAGTATAGATATCATAGATAACAGTGTGTGGGTTTCTCTTAATTAAAGGTGCAGTCCATTAAAATTATTAGATACTGGACAGCGCCCTAGTAAGGTTTGCCTGGGATATTAACTGATGCACTTACTCCAAGCAAGTTGCATGCTCCAAATATGGCTTGATAAATAAAATATAATTTCATGAGTACGACAGCCACGTATCCTCCAGACGTTTTACGTCGGTCTGGAGGTATAAATATGATAGGATACATAAAAAAAATGTATGCACAAGATGAGTGTAGCGACTAAAGTATCTGGTGTAAAACTGATCCAGTGAAAAACGTTACGTTGGTTGACTGAAGGAGGAGAAAAGGGAACAAAGGTGTCTAACGGGACTTAAAGGAAAAAGAATTTTCAGGTAAACTCACCTGTCTGCCAGTTCATTCAATGTATGACGGTTCTCATGTCACGACTTTGAGAATCTCTGGGATTTCCAGTTTCTTTTGACCTGTTGAGCCAGCAACGAAGTTCGTTAAAATTCACTCAACGGTTTTCTCATTGAACCGGAGCTCGTAAATATACCCCAAATTGTCGACGCCCTTAGACTGAATTATCGTAGCTGGATTTCTTGATTAAACAGAATATCTTCAAGACTTGGTACTAGAATGTTATCAACCACCAGGAAGTCATTGGGCATAGTGAGAGTTTCTATTCGCCATTAGAGAATGCAGGTCGAGGTTGACAAATGTTAACATAGTTTGTCCATCGGAACTAACAGGTAGAACCATCAGTGCAAACCCGATGGTGGTGCCGGGACGAGGAGGGAAGCTGTATCGATTGGACGCTTCGCCAGGGAGCACCACCTTCGCATCCCCAACCTTCATCCTCCTCATCCTAATCCACATTTTCTTCCACGTCCACCACCCGTTACTACGTTAGGCTATTGTTTCTGCAGGACACTCAAAAGGTATACCGACAGTAGTACAGACTTTGTAAGCACCTGGTTAAGGCAAGGTACCACACCGTGTAGTTGCCAACTTGATAACACACTTCCCCACTCTATATATAGGTATCAGGAAACTCGTAACGTGCGTACGAGATTTACCAGTGATATCAAGACTAAGGAAATTAGCATTTCAAACAGGTTTGCTACGCTCTTCACGTTGGGTTGCGCAAACCTAACCTCTACTGAATTCAATCCCTCGACAGTACTGCAGCAACAGCATAATGAACCCTCATGCTTCTATATATGCTCTTATAACAAGCTTCTTGAATTCCAATAACTTTCCAGGAAATTTTTGGCTAATGTACAGTATGTTAGCGTTCAGTTAATAACATGGCAGATCGGCCCTTGACGTTCACTGATGCATTTTAATACGTGAGTTTATAATTTACCTAAAATCATTTGCCAGCAGGAGAAAGGTATCAGGATTTCTCAGACCCATCAGATTCGTCTTTATAATTGTCACTTAGTTTCGCATTTTTTTTTTTCAGTCTGCTGCTACTGAGGCAGACGTGAAACGAGACATCGGAAAATCTCACTGTGCTATTACGTTGGGACTGACGGTTCTACCCCTATTAGAGGTTCTCTCTAGGTAAGACGTTATTAAGAGACGAGGGGGACGTGCGAAGGATCTCTCGAGGACTATTTGGAGCACTTGGCCTTCTGATAAGGTATAGTGTCAAGTTGCATATTAAACATGTTAAGTAAAACTTCGTATATGTTACTCCCTTAACACTTCGGTAGCCCCGTCAGTACCGGTAACACTAACACTCGTGTGGGGTCCGTAAAGACCCCATTTCGTTAATGCTATATATTGAACAATGCAAAAGTATTTTGCACTAGTCATTATTCTTGGTAATACATATGCCTAGGAGAGGTAAGACTGTTTTTAGCATAAATTAATTGCCAATTGACAAATAAATAATATTTAAAAAATTATTTTAGCTGTAACGAGAAAAATAAAAGGGCTAGGATCTCAGAGGCCCCCACTCGAGTATTGGAGGGTTACAAATGCTTCTCTTGTTTGTTTTTTTCTCTTAACAGACTTCCGGAATTCGTGGGAACGGATAAATATTTTGAAAAAGAGATACACTGCGTCCCTTTGCTTCTTCTGCCATGTTAAGAAACAAAAAGGATCCTACAAAAACTCTGGAAGCTGGGCATTATTCTTTTTCCTACCACTTAAGTAAAACATTTTCCATTGGCGCTGGACCGTTGATAAAGAAAAAGGGTTGGCAACGGAATTCTCATCAGTAAGAATATCCACTTTCTTTTGGAAGGTATTCAAGAGAAACCTTAGTGGTCCTGGTAGCTCTTTCACAGGAAACACCTCTATTTCAACTCATACTGTTGTCCCAGTAACTCTGTACAATAGCTATAATTTATTATAACTTTAGTAAAACTAAGATAATTTTTGTTATCTTGGTACAGTCATTCAAGTAATTTTGTTAAAACAATGTATATCATATTTAGATTCAAAGATAACCTAATAATCTATAAACTCGAATGACTGTACTTAGACTTAATATAAATGGCGCAAAGTGTGTGCACTAGTTCAATGCGAATCATGGAATTGTGACGTAGATTAATTCAGTAATCAGAAACGGAACCCAGTCGCTTGGTAAAAGGGACATACGCATACAGGCAAAAGTCTCTTGTATAGATGAAAGTGGAAAAAAATTTAATTCGCATGGCTTGTCTGTACATTGTTATCTCGAAACATGACGTGGTGCACCAGACTGTAAAATTTAAGATTATGAACTGTTGACTAGACCGAGTAAAGAGAAAAAGCAAAATAATAGTCACCGTGCCGTTATATTAAAGAATATAAGTCTTTGCCAGATGTCTGGGATTCGAAAAATAATGGTCGGTACTTGGTTCAGTGGATTCGCTGAAAGTCCTAGGACGCAAAACAACCTATTTAACGCTTGAGAGTAGGTAGGTTAACAAGATGAATCAAACCAGTTTCCTTAGTAGCCGTCTTGCGACGAACATATTTCAAATTTCATAATTGAACTCCATCCTGCATTGTTGAACACGAGAGGGAGCACGGATGCTTCGCAATATTGGAATTCAAAGACGAACCAGTGCGTTCCTGGTTCGCACCCTGTATACGTACATAAAAACCGCGCATACCTAGACTGTCCACCGTACAATTGGTAATGAGAAAACTTGCGCTGTTACTTATTCATATGTACGTATTAACCATACTATGCATTTCGCATACTGTATAATAACAAAGATCTCGAGCAAACGTGTCGCCCTCTGTTGGGAATTATTAAAAGCACTGGTGCAAAGCGACATAACTGACACGAAGCGACACTGTGTATAAAGCATAAGTGCGTTCAGGATAAGTTAGGCGATGATAACACCAGGGTCCTTTACAATTTTGTATGGTATCAAGGTAAAGCCAGGGTGATTTTTTAATATTAATTGTGATGATCAAGAGAGGATTATCAGTCTAAATTCATCTAAGGGTATCCATATTGGTACCCCCACTCTTATTGCCCTGATTTTATTAACCCTTATACGACAATGTACACTTATGAGAGCAAATCTGATCCTTGTTAACCGACGGAACTGGAAACTCCTCAGGAGAATTCGTATTAACCGTTTTTAATCGTCCCTTTCACCCTGGAGAAATTTCACGTCGAAGGCGTGGCTCCAGGGGGTTGCGAGGCAACGACACCCCGTGACCTCAAGTTCTTCGCGTCTCCAGACTTGCTTCGTTCTTCGCTTGTTCTCGCCACGGCAAGATTCTCTTCCGTAACTCAATTATGCAAAGAGACGTATAATAATTGCTATTGCGTCATCGGAAGTTCCTTTTCATTCAAGGTTCACTTCGGTAACGCTCATTTGGGTTTCATGATATTCAGCTATACAGAAAATTGAGATCTCAAGTACTTCCGGTGGAAATTTGAAAATCTCTATTTTCACGGATACGTCCTATGTAAACTTCTAATCTTATATCTATAAGGACTCTCATATCTATACGTATGTGTCATATGAGTATGCAGATACTTTACTGTATATATGTTCATGAATGCGACGACCCTTATTCGACGTCCTTATATGGCACATACTATATGCAGATAGAAGACAGATGTCAGATCAGGCTGGAATTTTGATTTATGAAAAGAGAGAGGAACGTGGCAGCAAATATAAATCTTCATCTGTACATATGTGACTGTAGGTATATAGTAACTCATATATCACTACCGTAGGTGATGTCCGTCTATGTCTATTTTACATTGCCATGATAAATTTTTGCAGATCTGACCGTGGTCCTGAGTGTCAATGGAGCACGTGTTCTTTGTCTCATAGCACGTGCAAGAAATATACAACGCGTTTGCCTATAGTACAATCTTCTTTTAATCTAAATAACAAATGAAAGTCACGCAAGCTAAAGAATCGATGACAATCGAGAACATGGGGTTTTATGTATTGAAAGATAACAGAGGGAGAAAAATTTCAATCGCGATATTCGAGATTTATACACCTACATATTTTTTAAATGTATTTCTTTTATCTTCAAATACGTAAGAGACAGTTTATTGTAAAATACGTCGTATGCTAAATTTCCATTGCTAAAAGTCTCTCAAAGTCTCCCTGCTCTCGGGCACAAAGCCGTTTCTCATCCGGTATGAAATACTTCAGTTATATTTATGCATGTCAGATTTATCATGGAATAAAAACTCCTGCTAGACGGTATCAGGGATTAATATACATAATGCCTCAATCGATATCTGTACGAAATATCAAAATCGTCTAGTGATAATATTTTAGATTTTTTTTTTGTCAGGGTACGTGCAGCCAGGTAGTATTTGTGGTCAGTGTCGTGTCAGACGCTATACACGTCACGGTATCACGATATATGTATAAATAGGTGTTATACACAGTCATGTATATATGCGTGCATATATATATATATACCAACTCCCTTTCTCTCTGGGATACTGCTGTGTGCTTTCATGACTTATTTAGCGTCCATCATTGTTAATCACTTCAGGTAGGTTTAAATCAGGTTAAGCAAGTCGTATTGTAAAAATTCCTTTTAAACTGGGTTCGATGTCCTGTCTTACAGCCATTATCGGAATATCAGCGTGCGTGTCTCACAGGATCCTGAGTCTTTCCGTTGAGACATCAGGGGTAAGAAAAAACGAGGTTGATTATCGGTTGGCTAGCCACGTCAAACCAGATCAGGAATATGTGGTAGCGTATAATGATGGATGAAGATGCAAACAGTGTAGATGATAGATAAGTTTGCATGTAAAAATTCAGCGTGGTTGAAAAGTCACTAAGGGTGGTGGATGAAACTTTGTTTTTTTTTAAAGCTGACATAAACGTTCCAGAAGGTTCTAGAAGGTACGAAAAATCTTGTATGAAAAATGAAGGATATTTAAGGGCTATTTTCGTGGTACCTTTTCTTGACAAATCTCATCCGACCCAACAAATGTGCTGCTGGCGCGAAAGCAGACGTTGCTGGCGAGTTTGTCGATGATATGACTGAGAAATGAGACAAGTCTGACCTCTGCCATAGGGTCCAAAAGGAAGTTTGCGATGCCTTGGACGTGATCAGAAGGGTTAGCTTCCCTCTGGGTTCGCAACAAGAAAAATCATGGAAGCGTCGGAGCGAAAGTAACGAGATAGGATGAGGTCCCTGGGAACTTGGAGAATTCTGGGAAATTAAATAAACATTTCAGGGAAGGCCACGTATACGTATTTTTGAATTAGCCTTGAGCTAACCTAACCTAACCTAACCTAACCTAACCTAACCTAACCTCTTTCTCTCTTAACCTCGAACAGACTCAGTGGCTCTGCCTGGCGATAATTCATCAAAAAATTCTGAATACCTGGCAATTATCCCGAGTAATTTTCTTTCTGTCGATGATAGCCAGTACTTCAGCCTCCATTTATAAGATTATTTTTCTTAACTCCTGTAGATTTTTATAAATAAATACAGATCAGCTCATGGAAGCCTTTGAATTGCGAATTCTTAAGCTTACGTCAACAAACCATAATAAGTATTCGAACGTACACTGACGTCTACGTATATTATCCCCTGTAAAAATTAACCCTGCTAAATATTTTAATGGGAATTTAGTTGAAGCTGAATACAAATCTTTGAATTTTCTTATTAATTTACTTTAAATGGAATTCACGTATTTTTAATAGAATACATTATTCTCATTTTTCAATGATCTCTCTCTCTCTCTCTCTCTCTCTTTCTCTTTCTCCTTTTTTTCTTCATTTCACCCTGACTGCTTTCTTTTACAATAGCATCCCCATAGTCAAGCCGGGCTATCATCTGTTACCCAGCATCAATCAACAGTTAGCGTTTCTCTAACCTTCCAACCAAATTCTAAGAGATCAACCTTCCTTTATCACCTCCCCGTTTACTATCCTGACGTGAAAGGATAAAATCCTGAAGGGTGAGAAGGGCAAAGGTTTCACAGAATGATACGGAGAAACTGTGGAAATAAAATTCAAGCTTGTGTGTATCCCGTGGGGGGTTGGGAGGGGGGGATCGATATGTTCATACGTTTGCGTTTACTTACACGAGGGAGTTCTTTGGCTTGGCTTGCACCTATAGTTTCATCCTTTTTCTTCCGTACCCTTTTTACGCTATACTCCGTACGAAGTAGTTCCGAGTATTGCGTCATTTATGCAATAAACATATTGACCAAGGGCTGTTTAGCTGATTTTGCCTTTCAATTTTTTAACGTGGAAGACTCAGCGTTCTTTGTAGACTGCCACGTGACGTGGTCATGTACTGTTTATGTAATATGGATAATGTTGAAAATCGCCAGCATCTTTGGTTACTCGTTGTATAGTTTTAACGTTATTATACAGTATATGCAAGACGTGGACTGGTAAAGGGAACTGTTGATAAACACTAACAGATCATGAAGTAAAATTATCTAGAATCGAGTAGCAATTTTAATGATTTTTTATAGGAACGTTTTGAATAGAAAAAAAAATTTGAATTTCATACTTTATCGTGGTACTATGGTTTCTTGTTTTACGGGTTGTGCTTTTATGGTACCTTCCTTCTATTTCTCCCTGCATCACCTCTTACATGCACATGTCTACCATATCCATGAAAGATAGTACGAAATCGTTATGAATTATGGATGGCAATGTGTTAACTGAAATGGTAAAAATCATAATTTATGAAGGATAAAAGACGGAGAAAAATCATATGTTCATATACAACGTGTGGATCAGCCTTTAAGATTTTTCAATATTTTTTAACGTTTCTCTCTTTACATTTTCTCTGGTTGTGTTTCGTTTTCAAAAAAAATTCTACAGAAACTTTTGAATACTCCCACGACGTATGTGTTTCGGATACGGAAATTTTTTTTTTTTAAATCCTTTTTCTCTATTTCATGCGTCCGTGCGCCCTTTTAACATGTCCCACTCATCCGGTGGTACTCTTCATTCTTTTATCTCGTTCACCTCACCATTTTGCTAGATAACCAGAAAAGCGGGGTTCCAGCATGAAAAGGAAAGCTCACTGAACGCGACGGCAAACGAATGAATAGTCAAAGCGGCATCAAGCCATACATGAATTTTGTTCTTTTGAAAAGTCAAAAATAAAATTTAAAAAAAATAGCTATTCCCGCCAGTCATTCGCACGAGCGACAGGAAGAGTTTAACCTTTCATGAATATTTTATTCGGATACAAAAGTGTGCTCACCCAGGTTGGCTGACTGCAAAGCTGCTGAAAGGATTCTTCAGCCACGAGAATGGACTTATCGAAGTTAAAGTCAATATCCTGAAGAGCTGGTCGTTAGTGCTGGGCAAATGATTACACGTACTTTTTCATTTTGCAATTTTTTCGACAGATTTTTCCATTAAAAGTTTTGTTGTCTCTGACAATTCAAAAATTAATTTTTTAAAATAATTTTTATATACTGTCTTTATGCGTTCCAGAATTCCGGCTGTTTAGGTGTACAATGGATTAGTGAACACTGCATTATTTTTGTTTGCACGAGTCTTGTGTCTGATCTCACACGTATCTTCAGTCCATTAACAATATACGTTCACAACTGCGTTTGATTTAATAGAATTTATTTTATCTATAGGGAGTTCCTGCCACTTTCAGAAAATCACCCTGCAACATAAATAAAGCCATTTTTTTGTACATCGTCCGGTTTAATTTAACGACCGTTACTCCTACCACCATACTTAAATCATATGATAGAGAGACTCCTTTTACTTCTATATAGAAATGCACCTCTTTAGGTGCAGATACTTTTATGCTTTTAAAGATTCTTTTCTTTAACTATCTTTAATAAGAAACCTTCTCTGTAATTACGCGGCTTTGTAACTACCAAGAGAGTACTTATACCGCACAAGAAATCCTATGAATATTATTTCAATAGAACTCTTTCCAATTATTCAGTGAATAGACATGACCTCCTCAAGTGTAACATTGTGAAGAATAAGAAATTACTTTTATTTATATGAATTATGAAGAAGAGAACTAATAGCCATTTACTGAAAGACTACCATATTCAAACTCCAAAGAAACTGAAAGACAGTGAACAACGTATAATAAAGTCTTGGCGAAAATACTGGCAGTAAGATGACAAAAAAAAGTAAAACAAAGAAAATTTGTCAGGTGGTCTTACATGTCTCGCTATCAATAATCCAATATTAAGAATCGCGTTTGGATCGTAAAATCAATATATATATGTGACTATGTGCGTATATAATTGTAGTTATCTACCGTTTAAGGACGCGTGTAATCGATTTGGCACTCGGCCTCTCAGATATTCGCAAGTGGTCACGTTCGTTGAATCTGTTTTTTAATCGTGGGAGGTTACTACTATACGATCCACTCGAGTTCGATTCTCGGCGTTGCTGGGCGTCGCGGCGCTAACACCGGCTCACTGAGCCAAGGTGGGTGAAACAGACGGGCGCCCGGACGCGAGCTTTCGCAAGCGCAAGCGCAGAGCGACGTCTCTCTATTACTTATTTTTCATCGGCGGCAAGCCCAGCGTCGTTCCTTGACGACGATACTACGAATCGTAGAAGGCGTACCTTAACCTCTTCCACGACTGTCTTTCTCAATTCAGTTGTACGTCCTTGATATAGCATCCGGGTAGAGGTAGCATTGTTTCTAAAAAGCGAATAAGTAGCATTTCAATTTTACAAAAGAAGAATGCCAGACGTGGTGAAAAAACCATAACCTCGATATCATAGCCAGGGGCACGGGCTAGGGGACTCTATAGCTTTACGATCCATTCCGAGATAGCCTTTCCTTGTAAAACCAATGACAGATCGTATATGCAATTTATCTGAGCACAAATCTTGGCTGTTTCATATTAAACACGACCTACGTCGAGCTCACGTTGATTCGTAATGCACGCCAGGAGCCGGGGCGTGATTCCTGCATGAAAATTTGCACATTTCTCTATTGGCCAGGTAAACCGGTGGTTTGACGAATCAGGTGGCGGCACGCTGGTTCGCCTTGTGACTTTTTCTATGGTATCCTGGTGCAGCTTCGCGAGTCGGAGTTAGTAGCAGAAGAAGGGAGTGAATAGTGTCGATAGTGGGAGTGTGCGCAACTTCCATGGTGGGAGTTTCACAAAACGATTAAACGTTACGAATAGCACGGGTGCATTCAAGATACAAGATAGATAGATACTTGAGATTATTCAGATAGTTGCAACGGTAGGTAGAGGGAGGCGCGCTCTCGTGGTGGCTATGAAAATGACACAACCAACATGGCCGTTGACGCGAGCACAGTCTCTAGCTGAACGCGCTCTTGGTCGGCCAAAATTATTTTCTAACATGAGGAACGTACTCCGATCGCGTTCGCTGTAGTTACGTGCGGGTACTCGCTGTTACGTGCCACCACGACGATGGGATCTGTCGAGGAGAGCTCCGACATTTCTACCCGGAATATACTTCCAACAACACAGGGTAAGTCAGCATTATCTCATCAGCCATGATGTTATGTACCTTCCTTTTTGCGTTGTTTACGAGTCTTTAACCTAGAAAATTTCACGACCGAATGGAACTCTTACTTCGTTATATGTTCGCATTGATTTTTGTTACCCAATTTTTCTACCTTCACCTCGTGAAGGACTTTTCTGACATCACGATTAGCTACTGACATGACGAATGTCGAAAATCGAGTACAGTATTCGTGGAGAGCGACTGCGCGTACTTGTAGTATAATTTTTTTTTCACAGACAAAAAGGCAAGTGAAAATTATCCCGCGAAATTTTTACCTCATAGTTATCCTCTTTGATTGGATCGCGAATGTCCATTATGCAACTAATGGAATTTCTATGCGTCGTTCGTCGCCATGGTTATTCTGTGATTATTCAATGTCTGATTGAGCTATTGGTTTTTTGTTAGAGGGTTCGTTACACACATTCACGTATCGTCGGGTAAAAATAAATCATTTCTAGTGGTAGGCTCTCTATACTTTTTTTTTTATTTTCACTTCGAACGAACAAGTACGAAGTTCTAGTGAGATTGTAGATAAATTAAATAGTTACATTTTTCAAGGTAATTGACTACTGACCCTAATTGGATTAAAATCTAATTAGGAACTGGAAATCCGAATAAAATATGACGATAAATCCAAGCAAAGGATATTACGTTTTACATATTTCTTTCGGCTACTTCATTTACTTTACATTCAAGTCGGTCGGTATACTCGGTAAAAGTTTGTCATTTTATTTCATTCGCACTCCAAGCGTCCTAATATGCGACGTCGGGTTTCAAAGGGCATGCACAACCATCCAACTTTTAACAGGCTAACTTGTTAAAGATGCATAAGGGTGTAATATTGCTTCTCTGCAGAGGAAACTATTTTCGAAATAATAAACATTTCTCTATATAGAGTCTGTTTCCTTATGACCAGCTTATACATTTTTAAGGACAAAGGAAATATTTCTGTCTCCAACCAACGGTCGTTCTTTCCTATGACAGAGACACACAATCATATGGTTTCCTTACTTAGCTCCTAGACCCTCGAATGGGGCCCTTTTTCGGGTCCTAGAACGACTTTCTTCAACACCTGCTAAGACTGGCAGATGTTAGGGACGTCTGGGATTTCTGGAAAAGCCTTGGAAATTTTCCAAGCCAACTTTACACAGGGAATACGTAATTCTTGTATAGAAGTTACAGTTAGAAACTGTAACATAAAAAATTAATAGGAAAAACTTTAACAAGCAGGAAATAAAAGTTTCATAGTTTCGTTTTGGTAAGTGAACTGTACGAGACTGTGGGATCGCATACAAAAATTTCACACTGAATTGTATAGATAATGGATCAATTGCTTTTTACGCTTTTATCAAGCGTTACTGGGCAGTTCAGGTGGTTTGTGCATATATATATATTTGTTTTCAAACATCAAAGCTCTGTGTGCAAAATAAATTCTATTGAATCCTGTTGAATAGCAACGCAAGTGCAGTACAAACGGTATCGTATTGACGTATTAACTTCTTGGATTAATTTTTAATATCACTGCTGCAGCAAAGCCTGTTATACAAAAGGATAGAGAGCGAGAGAGAGAGAGAGAGAAAAGAGTGCAATTTCCTCTGGATTCTAGATGTCAACGACGCATCAAGCAAAAACGACGGAAGAGACAAAACAGACGTGGATGGCTCGAAAACGTCCGTTATGGAATTATTCTCGTGGATTTCAGAATTTAAAAAAATGTGCAGGGCATCCCTGTCACAGCGAAGCATGGCTTCTTTGGTACAGCTAATGAATTATTATACAAGGTAAAAATAACAACAAATTTTTTTGTTTTTCCACCAGTATTAAATTTCCGAGTACTGGTTGTACAGAGACGCGACAAGACGATGGCACAATGCTTTATTGTAAATTCAACGTAAAACTATTATGCACTTTGCTTGGTATAGAATTATTTTTCAACTGGAATTGCACGATTCCTAACAATCACGGCACGTTAATAAGAGACTTCCTTATAAGTGCTGTACATTATACTTCGACGCAAATAACAGAATCATCATCTCTACGCTGTTGCACTGCAAGCTTATCTTGCATCAGTCACTGTCAGAATCACTGAACGCGTATAAATTGCATGCCGCAAAAATTGAGCTAACGAATACCTAGACTAACAAAAATAACCTGGACACGTATGCGGTAGACTGGTAGAAATTATTCAATTATTCTCTCGTTTGTTTGACGCTTTTCCTGTATTATTTATTTGCACGGCGAAACAGTCTAACGAGTCAAAGGAACGCGCTTGGGCATTGATATGTGAAATTGTCAGCATTGTTTTGACCGACCGAGCTTTTGCATATATACTGGCGTTCGTTAAAATTTAAACGTGAGCCATTGAAAAACCCCAGCAAATTATAATTTCCTTGTTTTACATTGCAGAAACGTATGTCAGAACGTTAACGAGTGTTACACAAAGCCTTTCCGAGCTGCTAAATTAAAGGAGTCCATTAGCGAAGCTTTACTTTTCTTCTTGTATTACTGTCGTGAATTGTCGGAGGTAAGGATTTCATTATTTTATCAAACTTTGCATTGCCCAAGATCAAGGGAGTACCCGACGGGCTTGTTGACACACTTAAAATATTTACTACAAAACTTCGTTATCTTTCAGGTCCAAGATCGTACCGTTTATCTTGTTAAAATGTCCGACCTCCTGTCCATGTACATGGACATGGAGCTGAAAGCTTCGAAAACCGGAAAAGAGCATCGTAGTAAAATAACAGCGCGGCTCACATCGTGCCTCTACGTTTACCTCGGTGGGTATTGCCGTGTATGGCAGTCACGAATTAATTGCATTTCTCAACAGACCAGATACACAGCATGCGGATGCAGTCTGCATCTGCATAGGGTTACCGCATAAAATAGAAAGTAGCTGATGGATGATTTGAATGTTCTAGTTAGTTTTATTTCTTTTCAGAAAACTCCACGGAGCACTTGTTAAATACACTTATAAAGGTTCGTTTTATGAGCCGGAATTATCAGGATATCTTGGATCCGATAATAACGTGAGTTCAATTAATAAAACGGCAGTGGGCAAAAATGCATCGCTGGATGCGGTCTTAGTCGATGGGTCGTAAAGACCGACGGTATTAATGAATTAGTTTGTTAACGATTGACGTTGCAGTAAAATATTCAAGAGCATCCCGGAAAGGCCGGACTCCGATTTAATGTACGTTCGCTACCTGCTGGGTTATCGGCTCTGGAAGAAGGTTAACAGTGATGCAGCCGTAAAGAGTCAGATAAACGTTACCGCCGTCTCGTCCCTCGGACAGCCGCCAACTGCCTTGCCCTCATTTCTAACGAAATACGTACTACCGAAAGTGCCAAAGTCTCAGATTAACTCGACGAAATTTTTGCTGCTGCACAAGTTCGACGTCGAGCAGTCTTGCAGACAGTTCGCACGGTACTGCACCCTGACCAGGAACGACGATAGTCGTGATAAGGATATGCAAACGGTAAGAGCTCGTTCCATTTTGTAAAGTGCACGGGTGGATTAACGGTTACCGAGCGTGTATACAGTTTGCTTTACTTCACTTGAACGACCCTTTAAAATGACTCACCCTTCGTTGCTGGAGTCAGAATGGTAATTGCACCTTTTCTTAACCGCCCACCCAATCCCTCCATGTTACAGTTATTTTATTTCAGTATCTTGTTTCATATCTTCCAGTGACTAACGATCATACACCGTCACGAGTGTCTATTTAGGACATCAAAGCTGTTCTGTCTATCTTTACCCAATGCTATTTACTTGCATATGCAAAGGTAGACAGCTTTGTCTGTACGTTGACCGTTAAGCCTTAACTTAAAACATGATTATTTACAGTTGGGTGCCAACGACGTGTATAAAGACGCTGTTCGTATAGGCAATAGTATCGATTCGCGTGTTTCTGAAAAAATACGTGAGACCGAGTCTGAACTGTCATCCGCGACGATAGCCGTTGGCAATGGCGCGACCGTGTTTAAAGAAAGTAACGAGATTGTGGTGGAGTCCACGAAGGAGACGACGGGTCAGGAAGTATCGGGACTTCCGGTCTCGAGAACGTCGAGAACGATCAAAGTCTTGCCGCGACGTAAGCCAAAGAAAAAAACTAGTGAAATCGTTATAATCGATCTGACCTCCGAGGAGGTGTCCGAGGTAGTGATAAAAAAGCGGAAACGCAAGAGATTGGCCTGGGTGCAGGAGGCTAAGAAGAGGATAAACATGAAGGCGGTGAAGGCAGCAAGGAAGAAAGAGAAGAGAAAAAGAATCGGGATTAAAGTTAATGGCGGGTCCGATGCGATTTTGAGTTCAGTGCATCAGCTTGAAGATACGTTTAATTTTCAGTCGTTATCCGTCAATGAAGATTCGGAACCAAAGGATATGCAGTATGCGTGCGTCACATCCGATTCCGGTATCGATGGTGACAAAGTGGAGTCATCCGGTTGTGATCTTAGTCCTACGAGAAATGTGGATCATCCGATTGACGAAGGATCGACAGCAATGGCAGCGACAATGACAACACCAATAAATAATAGTACCAGTAGCATTCCAGCCGTGATAACGGGCAAGACCGTTATCGCGGATTCAAGTAGCACAGATATACCTCACTCTACGTCTTCCTCGAGAGACAAAGAATCATTCTCCAGTGCAACAGGTTATTCCAGAGAGACCATATCCGAAGTTTCAAATGCGCTCAGCAACATTAGCAAGTATTACGACAGTGATAGTGCACTGGAAGTTAGTAGCGATGCGAATCCAGATAGTAGCTCTGTATCAAACTACCGTAACAATAATAATCAAGATAAGAAATCCGATGCAGGACTGGGTTCAGACAGCGAATCCGATAGGAGTAAGACAATTGAAGTGCACAAGGTGTCACCAGAAATTACAAAATATCTTACTGAAATTCAAAGTCCACTTAACGTTAGTTTGAACTTGAGAAACGCTGAAGATAATGTTCACAATAGAAGTAGTAAGATTGAGCTGACTGACGAGGAAGATCAATCATCACATTCTCCAGAATCTTCGATTAGAGTCAACTTGGAAACTCGTACCGAAGCTATTTGCAAGAATGAAAAGGATCATCATCCCACCGTTAATTTACACAACGCGAAGCTTCCGGCTCGCGGCAATTACACCGCAGTGGTGTCGTATGAGCTTGGGGTAGATAGTAAGTTGATAAGGAACACGAGCGAACAGAAACCTCTAGAGGAGAAGCTGATGTACAAAAGGCAGGAACGAAAAGTAAAGAAGCGAACAAACGAGACTTGTGAGACTGATGGGATTGTTAAAGATGGGAAACAAGACGGTGGTATAACAAACGTCACAGAATACTTCACTGTGGATACGATAATAAGAGACAAGTTTCCTAAGGGGCAGCGGGTAAACATGGATATCTCTTCTTCCAGTATCACTCAGACTACTACAGGTAATAGTGCTCAGAAGATATTCGAGGAACGTGACAGTGCGTATGATTCTCGTTTTAACGGTAATTCATTTTCTGCTGAAAGCACTGAATACCAAGAGCACATAGACGGGCTGTCGCTGCTTGCAAGTGTCTCACAGCAAGTTCCACATCTAATGGCAAGACCAAAGATAGTCAGTGGGAGCACTGAGACTGTACTTATCAAGAGAAACATAGATGACGAGACAGACACTAGTGACTCGTCCAATACTGTTATACAATTTTGTGAGAACCCACCTACAGAGATAATTAATGAAATTGTGGGTATTTATCCAGAGGATGCATTGGATAAGGTTGCTCTTCAAGTGGAGGTTACTTCTACGGAGGCTGACAGCACTGAAAATAATTCATTAAATGTCGTACCCATTGTTATGGACTCCGCAGCAGATTTGAGTGGTAGTATTGTGCAAAATAATTTGGTCTCCATAGAAAGTCATGGACAGCCTGTTAAGGAATGTACCAATGTCATATTAAACGGTGAGACAATAGTTCTTTTGCAAAAGTCGCCCAACAGCAATTTATATATTATTAACAAAGCCGTGGAGAATAAAGCAGATCTTGAGGAGGGGACGACTGGATTGAGAGAGGAGGATTCTATAAAGGAAGAAAATCTACTTTGTTCTGAAGTCATGGATAGTACTGGATACACGGAACTGGTTCATAATAACAGACAATTGCCATGGAAGGAGAATAAAAGTTTACTGGCTAGTAATATGGCTGTGAAGGTCGAGCCAGAGGAGGATAATAACTCAACCCTCTACTACGAGGATCCAAGGTACAAATCAAGTTACAAATATAATTCGTATAGATGTGATGAGGAACCTGTCAAAAGTGATAATCAAATGGTAGAGTTATCAAACCTGCAACACAGCGATACATCCAATTCCATAACAGAATTGAAGCCGACATTGCATGCATCGCCTCCGGCAATAAGACATCAACCTGGACAAGCAGTATATCAAGATAGTGCATTAAGTACCAAGAAAAAGAAGAAGAGCAAGGGTAAACGTAAGAGTAAAGTTACATCGAATACAAATCTATCCTGCAAGACGGCAAACGTTAAGCAAGAGTTTAATGCCTGTACTAATAATGCGTCCAATCATCAGACGTCCGATTACGGGATTCAGAGTGGTTGCCCGGTGGCAGCGCAACACCCTCTGCATATTCCTGTAACCCACCCAACCACATTGCCATCCATTTATGGTACGGTATCGGCCACTACTGATCTATTAGTCCCCTACCACAAGCATTGCTCCAGCATGCCTTGCGGTATTGCCGTGAATTCTCCGCCTGCCATTCATTCTCATACGAAATCAGCCTCTGCGGCGCCCGGAAGAACACACTGCACCTGTTTGAATTGCACCTATGGCGTGATCACGCATTGCTCACAGTGTATACTTCCGGCTGCTGATACTAATCATACTCCATATATTCAAGCTAACTCTTATTTTCTGCCATCTCATCCAGCAGCAGTGCAAGCGTCGGTGGTTAAGGACGACGAGAGCAAGATGAACGACGACGTCCTGACTAAGCTGTACGACGATCAGTTGTTGCACAAGATCGAGAAGAGCATATTTAACGACAAGCCGAACCAGGAAGCAGACGTGAAGTATCGACAGGAGCTAGCCAACAAGTTACCGCTGAAGAAGAGATTGAAGGCTCACGCGATGATGTCAATGAGCTACGAACATACTCACGGCAAGGTAGAGAAGCCTGTCAACTATCCAAGTACTCCGATGATGTCGATAGCAGCTCTCGAAGCTCAGGCAGCTTCACCGACTTCCGGTCAAGATCGAGACTCACCTCTAGATCCATCCAGTCTCGAGGATGAACCATTGAGTCATTATCACAATAGAGATATGATTCGCAGGGATTATTGCAAGGACATCACCCACGTGCCGAATGGTCATCACAATCAAACTGACGACAGGTCACGCAAGCTTGATCATCTGGGGGGCAAGGCCAACGGCCAGTCTAACGGATGTCATAAGGTCTGTTGTCAACGTGGGGTGAAGCGTCCAGCACAGAATAACAAGGATATTAGCAGCTCGTCGCCATCCTCAATAAAACGACTAGCTACAGGCTTGATTACCCAAGTTAAAACGCCAAAGAAATTGTCCACGGCTCAGGAAGCCGCAAGACGTACCAGAAGCTCCAAGAGAAACGTTCCTAAAGTGAATTATAGTTGTCTCGATGTCGATCCCGAATGGAATCTGTCCGGTGAGTCGAAACGGAGACGTAAAAGGACTAGTCGATGATCAATACTGTTACACTATCTAGCATCAGTGTTGCACGAGACAAGCAGTTGTCTGAGATGACCTGAAATGTACTGCAGGCTGTGGCATTTTAAAATCTGTACATATATAAATAATGAAAAAATTATTTCACCATAGGAAGAGGAAGAGTACATATTCATTACAAAGTTTGAATAGTTAACGTAACAAGAGACTCGTCATTCAGGAAGATCACCGTTTGGAAGATTTATCTACGATGTATTTGTTAATTTATATAAATTATTTGAAAAAAAAAAATACGTTTCAACTACCACTCGAAGATCTACTAGCAGTTCTATTATTCAATGAAGATATAAGATATAGGTGAAGATTCGTCACTGAAGATTCGTTGTTTCAAAAAATTTAATGACGTTTCTTCAAAATGTATATATATATATATATATATATATATATATATATATATATATATATATATATATATATATAAGGAAGATCACCGTTTGGAAGATTTATCTACGATGTATTTGTTAATTTATATAAATTATTTGAAAAAAAAAAATACGTTTCAACTACCACTCGAAGATCTACTAGCAGTTCTATTATTCAATGAAGATATAAGATATAGGTGAAGATTCGTCACTGAAGATTCGTTGTTTCAAAAAATTTAATGACGTTTCTTCAAAATGTATATATATATATATATATATATATACACACGCATATGTTCTAATATGTTTAACGGTCACATAGTATGTGTGTGTGTGTGGTTGTGGGCGTCCTGTGTGTATTTACGAAATTTTTTTGCTTTTATCGTGCCCGATCGATTTCTCTTTATGCATATTTGATATATATGCAATACAAAGGACACACGCGCCATTTTTGAATTTTGTTTTAATCGAATATCATACAAAACGATTATTCGATCGATAATAGGATAATTGCCTGTATATAAGTTTAAATTTTCGTACGGTCTCAATGATAGTCTTGTAGCAAGTTTCTTTTTTACACGGTCACAATTAAGTATTTGTATTTATCGGATAACCGTCATTAATCAATTGCGAAGATCAATGTGAAACAGCGACGTCGGTCCCGAGGTAAGACGGCCATTTTAAAAGGGAGAAAATAATGAAATTTTTGTCAATTAGCAGTATCTGTATTTATGTCAATATTTATCCGTGATTCATAGTTTGTCGGTTAACATTACAATGTCTCTATTGAATCCTTATCATTTTCTCCAGTGATAACATTGAATTGTTGTTTTCCTGAAAGTTTACATTGCCCACGTCATTAACTTTACGCGCGTTCTTAAAGTTGATTTTTCAGAAAAATAAGAACTCGACAACGTAATCCTTCAAGAAAATAATTAGGATTTCTCTCTATTTTTACATTGTTTGTTCAGTCACTTGAAATACGTAATTCCGGGCAATTAATATTCCATACATTTAAATTGATTATCATGGATCAAAAAATTGAATACTAATTACACTTTAATTTTTTTCTTCGCAGGTACAGCTCTTAAGCATCGTTGTGATATTGCGATAAAGCGCAACAAGGTATGAAAAATTGATGAATCTTTGAATATTTAAATAACGCAATCAAGCACAACTAATTGTATTTATTAATATATTTCATGTTTCCTTTGACTCCTGTAGCTTTGATGGTACTGAGAATCATGGACGTTCGTTAGTACAAGAAGAATCGTCCCGATACCCGGATAATCAAAGCGTACGAGGACGTAAATAAAATGTTGACATTTTATACACAGAGTGTCTTGTGTAACGTTCCAAGACGGAGAACAAAGTGGAGTCTGCTGTCATTTTTATCAAATCAACTGTCCTCGTATTTAGGTGACTATCATACTTCATTGTTCAATTAAATCCATCTTGTCTTAACTTTGTGAACCCATGGAATAAACTTTTCTTTTATTTCAGATCAAGTATCAGCGTAGATTCGAGAAAAGCAGCTCTAATGGCTCTCGTAGCATCGATAGTTTTGCCAAATGGAAATAGAACAGTTGATAGTCATTCTGGTGAGCCACTGATCAGAAGAATCGTGTAAGGGTGAAAGGAGATAAAAGACATAGAGAGTAAGAGAGGTAGAAAATCTGCGTTAACCGATATAATAATTTTTCTCATAAACAGATTATACTGGATCCTATAGATTAAAACAGTTATACCCACTCGTTAATCGTGACACTGTGTTCCTGCACGGTTCACACTCGGATACATTAATCGTTAATTAATATAAAACTGATCAGCAGTTTAATACGACTAGTCAACAGTAATAATGGTCACGAAAAATTACAATAGAATATATTTCACCAACGGGTACCGATTTACCTGGTGTTACCGTAATTTCAATGTCGAATGTATCATTCGAAAATTCTACGTTTGAATACAATATAACGCCTGATCAATCTATGGTTAAATATTCGATATAGACAAGATTCTGCTCGTTGATTTTAGCATTACCGTCCTGTATGAGTTTTACACATGACTGCCGATCAATTAGACAATTCAACGAGCTTGCATAAATTCTGTTTTCCCAAACAAATATACCAGCCGGTAATTTTACTCGCCGATCGCTAATCAAAATATGCACAACGCGTGCCCAGCATATGAAAGAATAATTGCTAGAAAGGAAAAAAAAGTCTGCATACAGAAATAAAAAAAAAAATAAAAAATCATAATAAATCGTGTATTCGTAAAATCTCTGAGAGATTCGTACGAAAAATCAAGTGAAATAGAAAAACCGTTACGCCAATAATGATCAATATACAGCTGACTGTTTTTATCTTGTAATCGTTATATTTATACATTACTTATACAGTTAATGTAATCAAGTCACACGTATATTTACTTCGGACTACACTGGGAATAGATGACTGTTCTTTTAATGTCAGCTTTAGCATAACGTAACAATAATTTATAACCGATATACGTACCGATAATACTTCAGTTTTATGCCATGTCCTATACCTGATCTCAAGTCTGTGATGATGAGAAATGATTTTTCCGCGATTTAAATTGCGTTCTAGAAAAAAAAAAAAAAAAAAGAAAACGATAGAAATAACCAAGATATGCCGTACCTTGCAAAATACTCTGCCAACTTAGCTCAATGTTCGCCATTGCCAAATAACGTCTGTTCGAATATTTCAATGAATATACAAGAGAACAAAAGCGAGACATTGTTAAATTCACAATAATAGTTTCCTCGCAGTAATTACTGTATCTTCCATCAATTGTACTTGTTAAGCAGTGATCCCCTACTTGCCCCTTCTGCCTCACCCCACTAAGACTCCCGTATTACATGATTGACTTGCGTAACATTAAAAATCAATCGCATCACTTTTTAGGTAGAAAAGAAAAAGTGGAGACGCCCTGTATATATATATATGTATATGTAATCTTGGACAAAATTTTGCTCCAGATCTCCTCACCTGTGTGTAAATGCGATAATTTATTTATTTCTCAACGAAAAGTCTGATATATTTACATTGCCTGAAGATTTCGCAGGATTTATGTAGTAAGCGTTATTATTATTACTATTATTGTCATCGTCATCCTTATCGTAATCGTCATTCACGCTAGTTTATATTTTATATCGTCAATTACGTTGTTCTGCATGTTTGTATCGTGTACACGTTTATTTAATTACAAAAGTCTGACGCTTTGTAGCGAACAAGTTTTAAGTTTAAGAAGAATTTACTGATTGATCAGCTCTGTCTCCCTTTCTCTCTCTCTCCCACTCTCTGCGTGTGTAAATTAAATTTATTTGTAGCCAATAAGTCAGTACTAGATAAGACAGGGGACGTCGATTTTAAAATATTGCCACTTGCTGACTCTGATGATACATTAAAGAATGAATTATTTGGATGGACCAACAAAAGGAAGAAAGAAAAAGATACTTGAGAAAATGTTTGTTAGTCAATAAGAAAATTAATGTTGTTAATGCAATGAGGCGTGTGCGAATCTCGCGCATGTTTATTGACCATGAGGATTAATTAGCACGTGGAGAGATCTCCCATTTAAATGAGAGCAGTAACGTGTATATCCTTTGTTCATTTGTAAAATTTTGTATATGAATTACTTCAAATAGACTTATACTATTGTGAATCTCCCTTGCTCCTTTCCTATCCCGCGTTTCCATAAATTCTTTTGAATCCGGCTTTGTACATACTAAATCGCGCATAAAAGGCGTAACCACGTGTAGTATAATATTACCGATACGGCGATCGTTATTTTTATATAATGCAATCTAGAGCGAACAATTTTCGTAGAATAAGGTTTACCGACAGTACATATTCTATTTATTATAACAGTCGACATTTGTTCGAGGAAATAAATGTGAATTCCCAAACCGTAACTTCGTTATTGTTTTCAGAGAATCTTTCACATCATCGCTATACCATTTCACGAAAAGCTCCTGTAGAATTATGATCATTTTATGCATAATTTAGCAAGAAACATTAAAAGAAAATAGAAGAATATCAATATACAACAATATCTATGATAAACGTTAGAATTCCGTGGTTTAACCATCAGGTAGTGCGTTTATAGGGAGATCGACAGTGCAGAGAGGAGTAGGAAGATTCTTCCTTTCTTTATAGAGGAGTAGGAAGATTCACAACGCTACGGTTTTAGGCGATACTAAAACCATGGCGCTAAATCGTAGCGGCGAGTCCGAAAGTAGAATTTTGAGACCATCGCCCCCATCGATAATGCATATTCTGTCGTAGCCTAGCTGACCCTGGTCACGAACGTGTAGCCTAGCCGGCAGAGGTTTTCCACAACTAACCGCTGGTTCTTAGAGTAACCCTTAGAACGAGGCCGCTCGTCAGATATTGCCTAAATATTTTTTTTGTAATCTTAAATTCGAGTGCACAGTGTAAGCTTGATGAGATTTACTAAGACAAAAGCCAGCACCTCATGCCTACCTGCGTTAAGAAGTGCAGCGATGCGATGCTAGCTTCCAGCATTATTTAACAATAGTTCCAAGCGGAACTATGGTCCCAACATTGAGTACGAGAGAGAACTATTTCGGAACTGTTTGAAGCACAATCTGAAAACAACACTGAAAGCCAGCTCCTTATGCATACCTGCACTGAAGCGTATGGTGCGACTAGTATCCTTAATAGGTATCTTACCGACGTTACGTAGCAGAACTATTGTTAAAATCTATCAGGAACTATAGAACTCCTCGAGAACTATTGAAAAAGCCTATTATTGAAACATTTTTAAGAGATTTTAAAAAAGTGCGGTACTGGAGCTGACACCCGTGTAGCATCTCAATTTTTGAACAATGTTTCAACAATAAGCTTTTCCAATAGTTCTTGAGGAGTTCTATAGTTCCTGATAGGTTTTAACAATAGTTCTGCTACGTAATGCCGTTAAAATACGTACATTCGAAAAATTGAGGTGGCAGTCGTGGTCGATTTTTATTAACTAAAATACCATCAGTGCCACTGTGACGTTAATTAAGCTCATAGCAGTCTCCTGAGCTTATTCCTACCCTTATCTGTCTTTTCCTTATCAATTATTATTGTTCCCATAAATTCACTTTATTACTAATCATTTATTGTATATAAAAATACTTAGCGCAATACACTACATACAATTATTCTAGATGTACTTATACGCTGGTACATGGGTAAGCTTTGTGACGTGTTTTTCGATTCACGGTCACAAGGCGACTCCGGCTACCGATGCAGATAACGTTCTCCATCTCAACGCTGCGCTCTCGGGTTGATTCGTATAGGTATACCGATGCTCTCGTAAGATTTCGTCATTGTTTAGTTGACGTCCAGGTTCTCGAATCTGCCGCGGGGCGGCGGTCTCGACGTAGCGAGTTGCCCGGCAGACGGTATCCGCGACAGTACCCGACGGAGACGTCTCCACTGAACGGCAGACGCTCGGGTGAGATGCCGGCGCCCCGTTGGAGATGGGCAAAGAGCTGCAGAGCGGGCGGAGATAAGGTTCCGTTACGATAAGGGGAGGAACCTCCTGCCCGAGTTAAAGATGTGGTACCCAGCTGTCGTCCAATGTCCTGGGGAAGCCGCCGTGGAGGATCTCCAAATGCTACGTACCGATTTGCTAAGGAAGGCTTTCCACTTGATTCAAAGGGACGGCATGAGGGAAAGGAAGAGTTATCGGCTATAAGGATCTCGACCAATTAGATAATCAGAATGATTAGTTCTCGAATTTGGCTATCGTCAAAGCAGTCTGTCTCGTTGATAATTTTTCTAGCTGTGTTTCAAAACGGTACACAAAGTTATCGCTCGTATACTTCTCGCGTTGCTCTCGCGATATCCAAGAAATTCTATGGATTTTCTGTAAGTGTTCTGGAAGTGCAGTGCTGTGTCCTAGTGCAGTGCCCACCTGAGTGTCTTCTGGATGCACTTCTTGGCCTTCACGGATTAGCTGCACCAGCTCCGGTAAATACATCTCCACTGCGTTTCATCGTTTACACCGTCACGGTTGTTTTTTGAATTCAAAATAAGTACGTAGCAGGTACAGGGTCTAGACACTATTTTTTCGAGTTTTTCAAAAAAGTTATAGGTAGTATAGTTATAAGTTAAAGGTAGTATAGTTA